CCGATATTTTTTTCCCGCGTACCGCTTCAACAAAGCGCGGCATCTCTTCAGTCTCAGGTCCATTAGACGAGCATTCAAACGATGTCCTGTTTTTCTTCGATATGCCCGAAGCCCTAAGTCTTCATTTAACACCCTTTTCACCGTGGTTCTGCTTAACCCCATCTGAAGGGCCAACAGTTTCTGCTTACGTTTGGGATTTCTTTGAATTCGCGCCTTCACAGCTTTTATCACTGCTGGAGTCCTAACAGACCGAGGGCGACCACTTCTTGACCTGTCATCTACACTAGAGTCTTCATTGTATCGTTTGATGGTACGATAAACGAATCTTTTGGTTATATTCAAATTTTTCAGTATGTTAAAAATTTGAGTTGGCGCGTAACCGCAACGATGCAACGCAATAACTGCAACACGGTCTTCTTTAAGCGTCCACTCCATATTTTAAAATGAGTAAAATTCTAAAAGTATACATTTTTATTTTCATGAACAATTCGAAATTCGAATTCAACAAACTTTTTTGTGGCCAGCATTCTAAAAGAAAAGTTTTTACTGTGTGACAATACTTATGACCTGACTAGTTATATTAAATATATGTATTTGTATAATAAAAATCTTACATTTATATCCGTTATCTGGTACCTCTAACACAAGTTCTTTACGAACTTATCACGAGACAAGTTAACGTGGCGTGATTGTTAGTAAATATTTATTTATATTTATTTTCCTTCATCGTTCCCTCACTACTGAGGATCGCGACCACATGTGACTTTCCTCCAGTCATCGATCATGGGTAGCATGGATCGCATTTTACAGACTACCCCCAAGTGCTTCCCTTACTAGATCTGAACATCTGACTGATGTTCTGCCCACTGCGCGCTTGCCTTCTATGCGACCCAAAATTATGAGTTTCTCTAACAGAGCCCTGAAAATGCGATACATTAAGACAAATATTTTTTTTGTATGGAAACTGGCGACATCTTGTAGCGGATGCCCCTAAACGTATATGTTGTTAAAGTTAAGGTATTTAATTATTGTATAACTAAAGACATTAAATAAAAAATTAATAAATCATACAAGTCTTTATTTGTTATAGAAAAACTGATTAAATTTTATCAATTGGTGGTTTCTGAAAATTTACAAAACCCTTCATTAAAAATAAAATATATGATAGTTAATGCTACTGCCATCTACAGGAGCAATGAGAAACTAATCGAAGCGAAGCCATCTAGTGGCGGCCGCCCGTAAACATTTTTGTTGAGCACTTGAGTTGTTTATCTATTTATATATATTTATATGTATTAACTATGTTCTCTAATTCATGTCTGGGAGACCGACATTATGGCGGGAACGCGAGGAGTGAAGTTGTGTGTTTTGTTTTATTTTGTCTATTTAGTGTTTCTTCAGATTGAAATTTTTATTATTTATTACGGTGGTTTATTCATTGTTTAGTGTATCTAAAAGTACAGAAATGTGGGAAAATTAAACAAAGATGCTGAACGTAACTTCTTGGGATCCTCCGAAAAATCCTCTGAATTTTTTTCATTAAAATTAAAATAAGACTTGACCTAAAGGTCTTAGTTACCAGGTCATAAAATCCCATTAAAAAAATCTCGGAGACCGAACTTTAGCTATAACGAAAACCGGCTTAAGTATGAAACGTGGGTAGTTCAATATTATTATATACAATAATATATGATGTCGATTTTGATACAATCATTTCTAGATATATAACGGGAGACAGCAACGTGCCTCTGGCGCTGATAGGCGGCGCCGGCTGCGGTAAAGCGACCCTGGTGGCCCGCGCCGTCACTATGGCGCCGACCTGCCAACAAGACCTCGCTGTTATCATAAGGTAAAAGGGAAGATGAAATTCGAACTAAAACATCTTTATGAAAAGTCTGTGTGCACACATTGCTTCAATCAAGTTCAGATTAAAATCGCACTACCTTGCACAATAATATGGCTCCTACGATATAATTGTACAAGTTGCTACTTATTTTGTATTTACTTGCATATTATTAGTATTTATTTGTATTCAATCGTATGTAAGTCTATGTTGTATTGTATTTATTTTTCACATGTGTATATAAGTATATATTTGTGTATAAGTGTATATTTTTATGTAAGTTTATTAAGATATAGCACTGTCCATCCTAGTTTGCTTATTCCTCTCCCTGCAAGGTTGCCTGGAAGAGATGGCTTTCAGTCATAAGGCCGCCGATTTATGTCACCGTCTATTACAGCGTTCAGGGAACCGGGATAAATTACACCAAATGGGGTAAAATGAAATTTTGGGGGGTAAAAATGAAACTTTTGTGAGTAAAAAGTATATATTGAAGTGAAGCTTCTTTAGAATCGTTGTGATTTCAAACTCGATGAAACGAAATGAAACGAAACGAAAAAATAAGTCCATAGAGACACAAACACATAAATGTATTGGATTCAGCCGGCGAGAGAATGAGATAGAACACATTATTTGGAAACACAAAGTTCACTTGATTGACCCAGGTATTTTATTGGGGCCTATAATATAAAAGATGCTAAAAAGAAGCGATATCATTTTTTTTTGTTCTTCGCCATGGGGTAATATCAACTTACACAAAAATATTTTGGGGTAATAATTAAAAAAGTTCCCCGACCACTGGTCTATTATTTGTTTTATATACTTACTCTGTACATGTGGTGTTGAATAAAGAGTTATATTATTATTATTATTGCTTTTAAACCGCAGATTTGTGGGTCTGACGTCCCAGTCCAGCAGCTCTCATCAGCTCCTCAAGTCCATAGTCGACCAGTGCCATGTCCTCAACACGGGCACGGTGTACAGAGGACGCAATGTAAGTTAAAATGTACTTCCACGACGAAGGAATAACATCGTGTAATAAAAATCAAACCCGCAAAATTATAATTTGCGTAATTGCTGGTGGTAGGAAGTCTTGTGAGTCCGCGCACCCGTCCACTCTTATATGGGTGGACGAGCTCACAGCCCACCTGGTGTTAAGTGGTTACTGGAGCCCATAGACATCTACAACGTAAATGCGCCACCCACCTTGAGATACAAGTTCTAAGGTCTCAAGTATAATTACAACGGCTACCCCGCCCTTCAAACCGAAATGCATCACTGCTTCACGGCAGAAAGGTGATGGTACCTACCCGTGCGGACTCACAAGAGGTTTTACCACCAGTAAACGTCTTCCTACAAGAGCAATAATAAAATAACTCTTGTGAGCTTCCATCTCTGTCCAGGACGTGGCCTCGTTGTCCACTCTCCTCCCGACCCTGCTGACGTCGCTGGGTCGGAGACGGCCGGTCCTGCTGGCCATTGTAGGGGCGGATGCCCTGAGGGCCGCCCGGTGGCTGCCCGAACGATTGCCTGATAACGTTAAGATGATCGTCACTGTTACCGAAGGTGAGTTTCCATACTTCAAGGCTACACTAATGAAAGTAGATTTTCTATTGTTAATGATGGAAAACGGATCGTTTCGAACCTCTGGGTCTGCGGAGGGACTTCGGTTCGGTCAGTTTGAGTTAGTGTAAGAAAGAGATGAATGTTTATCTAAGATGTACTATAAAAAACAAATCTCGATGTGAAAGTGTTACAAATTTGAACAGTCGTTGTTAGAACTTTAGGGTATATATAGATAAAGCTTAGTAGCTTTGCAGTGGAACATGGCCGAGTTCCATTGTGATAATAAACCGGATTTCGTTACGGTAATGAACCGGATGTCGTCACGATAATGAACCTAATTTCGTTACGGTAATGAATCGGATTTTGTCACGGTAATGAACCGGACTTTGTGACGGTAATAAACCGGATTTTGTCACGGTAATGAACCAGCCTTCGTGACGGTAATTAAAAAAAAACTATATCTTCAGAAAAAGATGAACCGTCGAGTTCAGCGATCATGGCTGTTCTGTCATCGGAGGACGGGCCCAAGGTGCTGAGGGCGCCGCCGGTGGGGGCCGAGGAAGCGAAAGCGGTGCTGACCGCGTGCGCCGCCACGTACAGCAAGACCGGGGCCGCCTCGCCGCCGGAGGCCGCCGTCAAGGCTGTGCAAAAATGCACCTTACCTCTATACGCGAAGGTAAGAAATGTAAAGACGCATCGACCGATGCGACTGTGTCAGTTTTCGAATCCCACAGGCGGGTGCCGGTTGGTCTAATGAGATACGTACTTAGGGTCCGTTCACACAGACCGGATCATATATGTTTGGAATGGGTCGGAGCGGAGCTGCCAACTATTTCACACTTGGCTACGCGAGCTAGAAAGAACGCGCAATCGGAGTTGGTCAACTCCTCTTATTATGTCACACGCAGCGCGTTCAAGCATTCCCAATTACAAAAAAAAATGCACAGGCAAAAATAAACTTTACTACAATTACTCAAAACTCTATTTCAAACATGATAAAAATCTGCTCTCCTCTCCGAGCCGGTCTGTGTGAACGGACCTTTAAAATCCTCACGAATGACTTGCACGATGAAAGAGAATACAATATCGTGCTATAGAAATTAAAAATCTACTGGTCGTAGGACCTCTTGCGAGTCCGCGCGGGTAGGTACCACCACCCTGCCTATTTCTGCCGTGAAGCAGTAATGCGTTTCGGTTTGAAGGGTGGGGCAGCCCTTGTATATACTTGAGACCTTAGAACTTATATCTCAAGGTGGGTGGCGCATTTACGTTGTAGATGTCTATGGCTCCAGTAACCACTTAACACCAGGTAGGCTGTGAGCTCGTCCACACATCTAACCAATAAAACCTCACCCTTCGAACCGAAACGCATTACTGCTTCACGGCGGAAATAGGTGGGGTGGTGGTACCTACCCGTGCGGACTCCCAAGAGATCCTACCACCAGTGATTACGCAAATTATAATTTTGCGGGTTTCATTTTTATTACACGATGTTATTCCTTCACCGTGGAAGTCAATCGTGAACATTTGTTGAGTACGTATTTCATTAGAATAATTGGTACCCGCCTGCGGGATTCGAACACCGGTGCATCGCTACATACGAATGTACCGGACGTATTATCCTTTAGGCCACGACGACTTCAAACCTATAAATATATATATAATATACAAGAACATAACAAACGAAACAATCTATACATATACTTCTAGATCCTGGCTTGGCAGATATCCTTATCGGCGGAAACGTTTACGGAACAAGAACCGGACGCGACTCCCGAGCTGGTCATCTGCGAGGACCTGGAGGGACAGCTGGTGCAGATACTGGTGGCGACTGAGGCGGCGCTGGGTGCGGAGCGAGTGAAGAACTGCCTCGCCCTGTTGACGGCCTCCAGGCGGGGCTTGGACGACACCGAGATCTTGGACATGTTGGCGCATGACGAATTGTTCAGAAGCCATGAAACTTATTGTAAGCTCCTTTACTGACTAGGTCGAACGTTATTAGACTTTCCTAATTGCACCACTAATTAGACAGAGCTCATGACTCATTTGCTTAACCCGGTTACCAGACCACATCACATTGCCTTCGGCTCGGGTGGCAATTTTACACGCGGGAGGAAATGTCCTACTTTTCTCCCTTCGTGCACCATGTACTATTAAACTTGTTATTTAAATGTAATTTTGACCTGTTGATGAACTTACCAAATAGCAAATTTATTTTAGTTCTTTTCTGAACTTTTATATAACAAAAGCAATCATGTTAAATTACAAACTGAATCTAAGTCGTAAAGCGTCAGTGATTACGGTCCAATTTCGTTCATCGGACTAGGGTAAATACAGACAGATGGTGAGACAGGCGGCGATGTTGTCCGCAGTGCCGTGGGCGCCGGCGTCCCTGTTCTGGCCGCAGCTGGCGGCGCTGCTGGCGCCGTGGGTGCGGTGGGACGCGCGGGGGGCGGCGCGCTGGCGGGACGCCGCGCTGGCCGGCGCCGCCCGGGACCGCTACCTGGCCGACGCCGAACACGACGTCAGGAGGACCCTCGTCGAGTACTACGAGGTGAGGTTCAGCCAACATGGCGGCCGCTGCGGGCTGGTGTTTAGATGACTTATTAATTTGAGCCCTTTGTATCTCGCGTGGAACGTATTCAAATCTATACTAATATATAAATCTACAGTGGTTTTTACGGATGTTCCGTTATAACTATTGAACCGTGCATCCGATTGACTTGAAACTTGGTATCCATGTAGAAAATACATGTACTTAATGGATAGGCCAATATTTATATGAGTCTTGGACTACTCTACACCAGTTGCGGGGGCGTTAATGATGAGAATCTTTGTGGGGGTGAGAAATAATAATGTTAATTTTAAATGCCCAGTGAAGCGGACGGGTACAGATAGTACCAAATAAAACGGACCTTTAATTACAAAGATATATGTCCCGTGTTAAGCGATATGGCGCTTAAACATAAGCCTTTCACTCCTCGATATATGATTGGTTTGTCCAGGGCGTGTGGTACTCCGAAAACGACCCGAAGATGGCGGGGCGGCTCGTCTCCCAGGAGAACAAATTTTCAGATGAATGGTAAGAAGAATGTAATGTACAAAAAAACGTTATCACAAAAGTTTTGTACAATGACGTCATAGTTGCATTTTATTTTTATTTTTGGCGGGAACGCGAGAAGTGAAGTTGTGTGATTTTTGTTGTGTTTTATTGATATATGATGTTTTATTTTGTCTATTTAGTGTTTCTTCGGGTTTAAATGTGTAATAACGGTAAATAAAATACTTTTGTAATTTTGTAGTGCTTACAGTTCTTTTGTCCTTTTTTATTTCTCTATCTTTATCTACTAACTTTCAGCGCCTTTTTTAAAATTTACCCGGCTGTTACTATAGCGCCATCCTTATTTAACAGATTTCAACGGACACTTTTTCACACACAGAGACGGTTCTCCATACCTTTACCCTCCATACCGGAATTCAGAATTACTATAATTTTGACGTTTGATAGTTTAAATTTTTGAAGTCGTCGTGGCCTAAAGGATAAGACGTTGTCCGGTGCATTCGTATCGAGCGATGCACCGGTGTTCGAATCCCGCAGGCGGGTACCAATTTTTCTTATGAAATACATACTTAACAAGTGTTCACGATTGACTTCCACGGTGAAGGAATGACATCGTGTAATAGAAATAAATAAAATAAAAAAAATCAAACCCACAAAATTATAATTTGCGTAATTACTGGTGGTAGGACGTCTTGTGAGTCCGCTCGGGTGGGTAACACCACCCTGCCTATTTCTGCCGTGAAGCAGTAATGCGTTTCGGTGGGTGGGGTAGCCGATGTAACTATACTGAGACCTTAGAACTTATATCTCGAGGTAGGTGGCGTATTTACGTTGTAGGCGTCTATGGGCTCGAGTAACCACTTAACACCAGGTGGGCTGTGAGCTCATTTACCCACCTAAGCAATAAAAAACAAAAATATATTTTGAATTACAGCTACAACACAAGAAAACTGGACGAGCTTCCGTTCCAGCACTACCACCTGTACCGCGAGGCGCCGGAAGTGTTCGCCGAGCAGCCTTACTTCACCCAGCTGGACTGGATCCGCGACAAGGTCGCCGCCGCCGACTGCGCCCACTTCCTCGAGGACCTCGCGCTGGTCCACATCGAGCCACTACCAGAACATATCGAGATATTAAAAGACCTGTTCGAGACCCACTGCTACGCTCTCGATTACGACCATAGACAATTTTACAGTTTACTCCGAGTGACCATAGAGAAGAGACGAAGGGAAGGCGTGGAGATTAAATCGAAAATTGTCGAGAACTGGTTGGCGGAGATATACGATCCGCCGATACCTAGTTTTTACCCGATGAACGAGGATTACTGGAGGGTTGAAGGAAAAAAGAGGGAAATGTCTATGGTCGAAGGGTTCGATAGCAAAACCTTTGATTTGATCGTGAGGTTTGACTGCAGGGGGAAGTACGTGGCCACCGTCTCCACAGAGCGAGAGGAGATCTGCGTTTGGGATGTATCGAAGTAAGTTCAACTCGATGACATGACAATGACAGTCGCAAATAATAACTGACCTGCGGTTCGTTAGATCTGGCGAAGTAGGCAGCGGCTTGGCTCTGCTCCTGGCATTGCTGAAGTCCATGGGCGACGGTAACCACTTACCATCAGGTTGGCCGTACGCTCGTCTGCCTACAAAGGCAATAAAAATAAAATAAAAAAAAGCCATCTCGCTTGCCTATATTTTCAAACTATGAAATAAAATCAACACTTCGAAATATATGCAAAATTATTATCAAAACGAATTCGGTAGTAACTAACTATACAGTCTTTTGTCGAGAACTGGAGTGTATTATTTTATTGATTTTATTCTGTAAATTTAATGTTCCACTAGGCTTAAATCCGTCGGACGTGGCTTTTCGGGTTTTTCTAGTCTCTTTTTTTTATTGCTTAGATTGGTGGATGAGCTCACAGCTCACCTGGTGTTAAGTGGTTACTGGAGCTCATAGATATCTACAACGTAAATGCGGCACCCATCTTGAGATATGAGTTCTAAGTTCTCAGTATAGCTACAACGGCTGCCCCACCCTTCAAACCGAAACACATTACTGCATCACGGCAGAACTAGTCAGGGTGGTGATACCTACCCGTGCGGAGTCACAAGAGGTCCTACCACCAATATTAGTAACATAACAATACAATGAATAAAAAAGACGTTCACCACGTATGGCTGATGAGTCCTGGCTGATTGGTCTGAAAAATGTGATAAGATATTATATGTGTTAAAAGGAAATTTCTCTGCCTCTCAGATGTCAACTGGTGAGGAAAATAGTGGGCGTGACGCACCCCATCAATTTGGTGCCCATTGATGAGTACAGATGCGTAGTGCTGTGTCGACGGGAGCTCAGAGTGTATAACCTCGACCAGGTAGGTACTACCAAGGGTGGGTAGGGTCTTGGGCCCGCGGTCTCCTCTCAACATCTGCAAACCGTCAAGTCCCACATACCCCGCGTGCCCCCTAAGCGTGGAAGCCTCGTATGAGGTTCGGCCCTCTGCCCGATAAAAAAATGGGTTACTCCCAAGAGAACGTTTCAGGGGAGAAATACCCAAGTAGGAGGCAACTTAATCGTGCGGGGTGGTAGCACGGCCAACGCAAATTTCGCGAGATAATTTTTTTAAGATATTATTACTCGCAATGGCGTTTCTAGTCCAAGTAGCGTCCGTGTGCAATCATTACCCTAGCGCCATCTAGTGAGCGCGCAATCAAATCAGATTAGGTACAAATGTTGAAAGTTGCCATAGACACAGCCCTACTGAGTTTCTCGCCGGATCTTCTCAGTGGGTAGCGTTTCCGATCTGGTTGTAGATTCTGCAAAGCACTGCTCTTGCTAGGGCGAGTGTTAGCAACACTCCGGTTTGAGCCCCGTGAGCTCACCTACATGTCAAGGCAAAGCTGAAATAGCCTCTCAAGGTTATCAGCATAGGTAGGAAAAATAAATAAATTAAAAGTGTCAAGATCAGCCCGCCCTAACACCACTGCCCCCGCATTTCGCACTATAAGCAAAGCCATTTTGTTCCTTCCTATGTACTTATTTAGAAAAAAAAATGGTGCGCGTGAAAGAAGTGAAACTTCTTTTGCGGTGTTTAGTATTGTGGTTTTCTTCATTTTTCATCCTTAAATCAAATTTCTCTTGCAATAGGGAATGCTGTGTATAAGAGAAACGACCTAGCTAGCTTTCTCCCTCTCCAAGGTCGAGTGGCTCATGAGACGCTCTGTCTATTTTCTCACTCTCGCTCGTCCTAAATTGTATATTTTGTCTCTAGCCGTAACGAAACTGTAGATATTTCAGTAATACTATCTTCCTCTGGTACAGTCGCATCGGTCGATACAAGTACAACGGGCGTCTTATCCCTTAGGCCATGTTGGACGGTTAAATTTGAGGGTATTGGGTTCTTTAGGTGCTGAGGGGCTATTTAAAAACACAACTGCTTCATTATAATTATATTGCAGATTGCTTGAACACTTTTACACCATTATACAATTATTATCTTTATATTTTTTATAAAACTATTTCATGTTTCTCTTGCCGTGTCTAGATGAGAAGTACTGACATTTTCTTACGAGAATACAATGATCTGTTTTTTAAACATTTAAAATAATTCCAATATTCGAAATCTAATCAAGTGTAAAGTGTTGCCTGCCATTACATTTATATACAAACTCCAACAGGCCACTTACAATTTTACTGACGACATCTAATATCAATCAGATTTCAAGTCGCCTAAATTATGAATAATAATTAGTAAGCAACATCAAAATTGAATATTGTGAAATTTGGATAATAGAGATATTGAAGGATTTAATTGTATGTATTCAATAAAAAATCACAGGGCACTTTCTTGGTGGCGTTGAAGGGTGTAATGAACCAGAAGATGCCCTACTACGGTCTCCACGACAGCACCCACCTCGTGGCCCTCTCCCGGAACCGGATGTACGTGAACCTAATGAACATCGAGACAGGTGGGTATACTCTATGCTAATTATTATTCTATCTATATATTGTTATGCGCTGGGGTTCGGGATAAATAAAAATTATATCGGAGTACAACTTAACACTGTATTAGCACTTAGAAGACTTAAAACACTTAACGAAGACTTTAAAATTCTCAATTCGCTTCTTCCGCTTCGCTTCAGGTGATCCGTTTGCTGTTTCGCTTCGAGTAACTGCGATTACTGACTGCGTGCTATCTCTGCAACGCTTTTATAGTCGAGACGAAACCCCTAGAGTTATCGAGAAGATTCCTCGCAAGTCGAGTATTTTCGATGTATTATATGTTTCCGCCATCTAACTATAGATGGCGTTGTACTTCTCGAGCGTTCTAGATGCTACTAGATACTTCAATACTTGTTCGGCTATTCAGCGATAGATGGCGTTACTCTTACCAGCGTAACAATATCTTCATGTACTGCCGTACAAAAAATTAAACGGAAAATGGCTCCAATAGATTTAAAATTAAAGATATTATAATCCGAAAGCGAACCGGAAATTTTTCAGAAAATCACACCCAGTACAGACAATTAGTATCGAATTCTTAAATCTAGAATGAATATACAGTTAATGATAATATAACTTGCAAATATTATTTGTTAATATTTTATATCTGTGTGATTTTTCTTGTCTCTAAACTTGTTCTATCAAGTAATCGAATAAATGATAAATTTTGGTAATGCAATATGAACTTTATCGACTTGCTATAAGGCACAATTTTCTACTTTTAGGTGATTGCGTAACGACGTTCAAGGCTGGCGAGGACAGGTTCCTGAACTCGTTACTCGTGTCCGGGGACGGAAGGTGCGTTTGTTATTATTGTTGCCACAATTTCGAGTTTTTCTAGAATATTCCTTTGTCACTATAAAAAACAGACTAGAGGTGCCTCAAAATATCACAATTTGCAAACGTAAGTTTGTTGTTTAATTGACGCCATTTACTGGCAACCGCTTTTTTTTTGCTTAGATGGGTGGACGAGCTCACAGCCCACTTGGTGTTAAGTGGTTACTGGAGCCCATAGACATGTATAACATAAATGCGCCAGCACCTTGAGATATAAGCTCTGAGGTCTCAAGTATAGTTACAACGGCTGCCCCACCGTTCAAACCGAAACGCATTGGTGGTGGTAAGCGGTAGGCAGCGACTTGGCTCTACCTGGCATTGCTGAAGTCCATGGGCGACGGTAACCACTCACCATCAGGTGGGCCGTAAGCTCGTCTGCCAAAAAGGGCAATAAAAAAAATAAAAAAAACCTACCCGTGCGAACTCACAAGAGGTCCTATCACCAGTTAAAAAGCTTAGCATCAGGTAAGCGGAGAGCACGTCCAACCATCTCTCAGCTCAACTAGTCTCAAAAGTGCCTCGTCACTGTATTTTATATTTCCCTCCCACCCCAGGGTGCTGGTCTGCGGAGACGAGACCCAGAAGCCGTTCCCGCTGCTGGTCTGGTCGCTCACGTCAAGGAAGCTGCTTTACGACCTTCGTATCCCGCATCACGACTTCGTCACGTCCAAAGCTGCTATTACTTACGAAGGTATGTGTGCAGTCAGGAGCGAGTGACATCGAGATGGTGGTCCATATAATCTTTCCATCGTACAAACAAATATTTAGAGGTTTTCTTATTCAAAAATAATTTTACAGACTTGTTTTTCTCATCATAGTTATATTAGGGTACCCCCTATTAATATAAACAAGGCATTTCAAAACGCTTACATGAGTCAAGTGGAATCTAAAACTTTTGATTTAAATGACGATATGACGATAAAATTTCATTTATGTTAATATCTGGTTTACAAATAAATGTACAGTAAAAATGAGACATGAGAAACGGCACTAACCATGCTAACAAAATGTTCATAACTATTAGTCTATACTATTTCACAATTTCGTTTCATTCAAATCTTGGTCCTTTGAGCCTGATTGGAACTATTTTTAGTTATTATACTTAAACTGACTAGGTGGGACATTAGTTAGCGCCCCTGACTATTACACTGAGGCTCGTGTTTTCGATTTCCGCATTGAGCAAACATTGTGTAATGAACTAGTGTGTTTGCTCTATGTTTATCTATATCCTCCTCCTCGAGTCGTGTTCCTCATGTCTGAGGGTCGTGACCACCATCACCCATGAGCTTCAATTTTAGGATATTTTTCCACTTTCCCCTGTCCTTTTTTTTTTCCTTTTTTCCAGGTTATCGCCGTCTTTCCTCGCAATGTGACCAAAATATTCGAAATATTTTTTTTTTTATCTATATATGTTTACTTAAACATATAATATACATAACATAATTAAATATTATATAATAATTTATATAATATTTAATATATATATATAATTATATATAAATTATTATATAATATTTAATTATGTTTGTCAGTCTCTGGTACCCATAACACAGGGAGCCCTAAACTGGCGCTGGATGACCGAGCGTGATTTGTTCCCAGTTATTAAAAAAAAGTTGTTTTAACTGTATTTTGGTGTTCGCCAAAAGTGTCCTACTCCTGACGCAGTCGCAAAAATTTCTAGTTGAAGCGTGGGATAGCTGTAATAGAATGATATTTTGGATTCGATCTCATGTCTGGGCGGCGGAATTCACGTGATGATGTTACGGGCTCTAATTTTATAATTAGAGCGGTATGAAATCAATAATACTGGTTAGGTCCAACAATGAAATAACATTAATATTGTAACTGAAGTTTGCAGATTTCAACCGTACAGAAATCTAGCGTTTTCCATAATTAAATAATCGTTATTACAAGGGAAATTGACAAAATATATCCTAACTAGCGGCCCGCTCCGGTTCCGCTCGGGTCTTTAACAAAAATTGCAACGATATTTGACGTCTTATTTTTTTTAATAAAAGATATTGCGGCATAACTACAATAGGTAGACATATGCTCTCGCGACATTTTTTGTAAATAATGTGTTCTACAAAGTCGTAGTACATTATTTTATTCTATCATCAATAGTTTTTCGCAGGGCACGCGACATAAAGAATATTTTAGGTATTTTTTTTACACCTTGGGTTACATTATTGGAGTTTTAGTAAAGATTTACAGCCTATGTCACTCGGAAAAAGTGTAGCTTATAAACAGTGAAAGAATTTTTCAAATCGGTTCAGTAGTTTCGGAGAATATTCAAGACAAACAAATTTTTCCTCTTTATAATATTATAAGTATAGATTTGCGGTGGCTGTGGATTCTGTGGACAGTGGACAGCCCCAAATGAACTGTCTCCGCGATGATACCTGAATTCTCCCGTCGCTTCCTCCCCAGGGTCCTACGTGTGCGTCGTGTCTCGTGAGCTGGACGAGCCCAGCCCGAACTTCATAGTGGTGTACGACCTGCAGTCCGGCACGCTGTTCAAGAAGTGGAAGCCGGGCTGCGACACCGTGGCGCTGGCCATCAGCTCAGCCGACGGCTGCGTCGTCTCCGGCCTGGCCGACACCAGGATACTCGTTTGGGATTTAGTGACAGGTACGTTATTAATACGCCTTTTATTAGCTTCAGACGTATGTGTGTAAGTATTTAACTGAATCTTTGAACATGATTTTGACCCCCTTCAAAACGTCGGATTAACACGAAATTTAGTATACTTATTAAGGACCGATGACAATTCAATATTAAAAAAATATTGAAATTTAACTAAAAAAATTAAAATAGTTCAAAATGTCTAACAAAATACGTTTTTATAGATAATCCAACTAAAAAATAGAAAAGAAATTTTAATAAATTTGAATTAAGAATAGTGTCAGAAAAATGATTTTATTGTAAAAAAGCGTGGGGATGAGATGTCCAACTTTTCTCCCGCGCTGCACATATTATTTTTTCTCCTACCAGGCCGAAAGTTCGACATTGTAAAAAACTTAGCACCCGTGGAGTGCCGAGCCGGGGTCCAACGGCGAAGCATAAAAACACAATTCAACTGTTTTTTAATTTTTAAATAAACTACTACTAAATGAATAAGAACTGTCTGATGAACTCATCTTTGTTTAATACTTCACTATGAAATTTTATTGCCTTTTGTTTATTTCACTTAAATTAAACACAATATTGCAATTTGCTCGAGCACAACAATGGCGGAGAATTTTAGGTGCGTATGAGCAGACGTAGACACTAACGCGCATGCGCACTTGTGCCCAGGGAGAAAAAAGTTACATTTTCTTCCCTGTACAGCGGAAGGAAAAGTTAGATTTTCTTCCCTGTACAGCAGGACGAAAACCGAACTTTCGGCGTAGGTAGGAGGAATAATTTATTCTCAAAGTGGGTAGTAGATAAAATAAGTTTGGGAACCCCTGCTTTAAAGTAAGATGTACATATTTAAGTTTGAAATTCTATTCTACTTTAGATGACGTGTTTTTTATACTCATTGAAACTACTGTGCAGGCAACTGCCGCGTGACTCTCCGCGGACACGTGTCGGCTCCGTCCCGGCTGCGGCTGGCGCGCGCGGGCGGCGTGCTGCTGTCCCAGGACGACACCTGCCGCGACCTGTCCGTGCGGCTGTGGGACCTGCACACGGGTATGTATACGCGCACGTACATTGCACTGTCTGCTTTTCTCTCTCCCTCTCTCCTTCTATCTCTCTGTGTCTCTCTCCTCCCTATTAAAAATAAAAAAGTTGGACGCTTCACTCAAAAGCGTATGCAGAAATAAATCCTAAACGAACACAACCTCCAAACCGTCGATATGATCGAAGATCCGTCTCGTCTGTTGCAGGCAAGCTGATAGCGGTGTACACGCCCCCCGAGAGGATAACGTCCTGCGAGGTTCTCCTCGGGGGCTCGGTGCTCGCCGTGGCGCTGGAGAACTGCCGCGACATCCTCTGCGTTCAACTGCACGGGCCCCCGGGCGACGCGGTGGCGGCTGGCCGGGACCTCGAGCACGACGACGAACCCTACGGGGACCCCGCGCTGCAAGGGAGGACCCTCGACGTGAAGGCCGCTGAAACGTCATAGCAGGGCAGGCGGTTCAGCCTGTGGGGGAAAACTTGAAACTCCCCCCCAACCCCCCTCCCGGCTTGCGGTGACGTCTGGCGTTCCAGAAGCCAACTGCAGATTTAAGAACAAGCCAGAAGTACCATTTGTCGTATGCAAATCTGTCTTATGTATTTTATGAGAAACGTTAACTATACTGAGACTTTAGAACTTATATCTCAAGGTGGGTGGCGCGTTTACGTTGTAGATGTCTATGGGCGCTCCAGTAACCACTTAACGCCAGGTGGGCTGTGAGCTCGTCCACCCATCTAAACTATTTACGTTACTCGCAGCTAGTAATGCGAACAGCCATACATCAAGGCAAGCATTTGGAATCAACAATAAAATAAAATAAAATAAAAACAATCGATTTGACTGTGGCTTGTCGCCCATTGGAAATGACGAAATAAATAAAGATTGAAAAAAAAATTGGAAAGAAAAGAAGAAAAAAAAAACATTAATGTTTTGATCTAATACGCTTATTACATTTTTAAAAATATTAATATTAATAATGATAATGATGATGATGATGATGATGAATATTGTATTTAGTGAATTCCCTATCCGTGATGTTGATGTTAGAGAACATTCTTGTGGTGAATTTTAGATTGTAAGATTAATTTGACATTTTTTCATTTGCTTTCGTCTTTCGTTTTCTTTGTAAAATTGTCGTCTCTGCCGCGACGGTTTTTGTATTTTGGCAACAAATGTCACATCCCCTACTACTATGGAGGGTAGAGGTAAGGAGTAAAGATGAGGCGTATTCACGCTACTAGGTTTTAAAACCAGGTTTTCACTTCGAAGTTTGGTGCCCTGGTACAAGCAAAAAATACTTACAAGCATGAAAGTGTATGTTCTGAGGTCGGAAGCTCAAAAAACTTGAACACTCACACGAAAATACTGCATAGGAAAATGATTCATATCTAATTAGGAATAAAAAACACAATCGGATTCGTGAATAAAAAAATACTTTGAATTTAAACTTCATATTTACACGATTTATTCGATTTTGCTCCTTATTCATCATGCAATACGGGATGAATTCCTATGTAAATTGAACACCGCTGCGGCATCTCAAACAGTACGTATACTTTCGAGTATTTTTAAAACCTGGTATTTTTCCGTACTTGTACTAAGTATTCCATTTTGCAAGTATATCTCATCGCTACTAAGGAGGACTGTCTTGTCTAAAAGACAAGTTGACAAAGTGTCCGACTGTATAGTAAACGGCACGTAAGTTGGCAAGGTTTTGGTGTAGTGGGGGTAATGTCGCGCATAGTGTACATTGCAACAAAAAAATGGTCACTTTTATTGCCCACATATAATTTTATTTTATTTTATAAAAATTTTTGCTTGCCATAATTTATTTTTAAGCCTCTGTGCTTAGAAGAAAGTTAAAGAAAAGAGAGGAATTCGTGAAGTGTATTAGGTGTTATAAATAAAATACCTAAAAGTTAAGAAGTTTATTTAAAAAAAAATACTTAATATTAAAAATTATGTGTCGCCGTCGTCACTATCATTTTCTAATAGTGCTACCCCTTGGATTAAATTTATGGTAGCACCTGAGCTGGTGGAAGGAGTTGGCTCCTCATCGTCGACATAACGAAGAGTCGCTGTCGTCACTGGCCTAAATAATAAAACGCTCAGTGACTGAATCGACTATATGGTCATTGGTATTTGGTCCTGGCATTGCAAACACTCGTAACAAAAACTAAATTTAAAACAATAATAACAACTCGTAACAAAAACTCAATATAAACAAAGGGTTCCTACAACTTTAGTAGGCGCATGTGTAACCCGGAGCGAACGGAACGTGGACACGGTGCGAGAGGGGAGGGTCTACTGACTCACCAATCGCGCGCTCGGAACGGTGCTACGTCTTTCCCCGCGTCCCGCTTGACAACCAAAGAGACCTAAAAACGATTCCTGCGCATCTAGCGACCCTTGCCAAGTTACGTGCCGGGGACTATAAACGGCAAGTTATTGTTGGAAGACTCACCGAAATAGCGCTAGTGTAGGTATTTGTTAACCAAACTAAATAAAACAGTTATCGGCCATACTACAATACGTTACTTACGTTCGATGCCTCCAATGAACACTACGCTAACTCCAAATTCGTAGATTTACAGGAGGAGCATTTAAACGAAAAAAGTTGATAAAATCTTTATTATTGCAGATATATTTATGGTTTTTTGTGTAGCTAGCTGATTTACTCTTGCTTCGAACCCCATCAATAATGATTAATTGTAATACTTTTAACATAGTGAAGCGATTTGCGTAAAAACGAAAATTTCAAAATTTTGTTGTAGAGTAGTGTTCATTGGAGGCATCGATAGTATGTTTAATATAAAATACGTTCCAAGTATCCCGTCTTATAGCAAAGGAGGCATCCCGCTTTCTCTTCTGCTGATATTCGACTAAGTCGTATTGGTATGAAAAAAATCGTATAATTATGTCAAAAATGTCAAATTATATAATAAATATGTCAAAAAAATCGTATATTCAATCATCATTGCTGTCCTGCCTTAGCAGGACAGCAATGATGATTGAATTCTTAAATCGCCAGCACTCCTTTGTATTCCTCTACTCTTCCTTGTGCTTTTTAAACAGACGCGAAGATAACGTAATTACGTAATGTATTCAAATAATATAGTAGTACCGTTCGCGTATATTAATGAAATTGCCAACGTTTTTTTTTTCCTACCTACGCTGATAGCCTTGAGAGGCTACTTCAGCGGAACCTTAACTAGTAGGTGAGCTCACGGGGCTCAAACCTGACGACGTTGCTAACACGAACCCTGGCAAGAGCCGTGCTTCGCAGAATGTACCACCGGATCGGAAACGCGACCCACTGAGAAGATCCGGCGAGAAACGCAGTGGGCTGTGTCTGAGGGTTAATTTACTCGTCGAGCCCTTCGCCGCAAGCGACGGGTTCGATGAGAACAGTGACCGGTGCTTGAAGTACCTAAAAGCACCGTTAGTGGATCGGGAGGAGGAAAATACTATAAATTCTCATAATCAATCTCTAGAATTCTCTTTTTTTTTGTTCAAGTCGTGGCAGAGACGCAATAATTCGACTGCACAAATTTTTGATCTTAATCTATCTTGTTAAAACTATTTTCCTTCCGTTTCAAGACTAATTAAAGAAATTGCACAATTTTTATGTACAGGGTGAGTTTTACTGTCGACTGGTGCAATAGCATGGGCAAAACTTAATCCATGGGTACTGTTGCAGAAAAACTATGCCAAAAACAGTTTTTGCCAATTTAACTTTCGAATTTTGCTATTGACGCACCGTTGGAATACTCACGCTGTATATTTTTGTAATTTTTATTTTATTTTCGCTTATTCTCTAAAGCTATTAAGCTTTCGACCAAAGCAATCTAATGTAATCTAGCTGTAATCTTAATTTTAATGTGAAAAGTCATTTTTGACATTTGAAATTCATTTTGGCGGGAAACCCTTAAAATGCACATCGATCCTGAGCCGTTAAAAATCTAAAGGTAATTTTTTTTTTTAAATTATATTCCGAAATATATATGTATCAAACATGCTATTCATAAAACTTATCACTTTCAATTTCTAATAGGTATCTAACAGATTATAATCAATTCCTAAATATAAAAAGAATTAAAGATGGCCGTTTGACAATTCTTAAACATCCATCCTTTAGGATCGTTGCTTCACTCATACAAAATATACAAAATGAATTTTCACATTAAACAACTAATCTTAACTTTAATCTAACGAGTGAACTGATACTTACGTCTTCAATATAATTTGATAAATTCGCTTCCGTCATTTTTAAATGTTAAAATTTAATTAAGGTGTTAATTGTTGAATTGCCTCGGCATTACACTATATTTAGAATCTTCTGGTCACAGATTATATAGTATCTTATATACACAATGCCTGGTGCAAATGTGCAGCTCCGTAGGTTACTGAAAAAAAAATATAGATTATAATAATACATTTTGATCAACAAACAAACTCCTCGACCTTTAAAATGTCCCATTCCTTAATCGTAAAGTCGAACGTATGTAAAAAAACCTATTAAAATTTTAATATCCGTGCTCATGGAAGTAATAATGTTGATAATCAAAATCAATTGGTATTTCTTACCCGACTATAGTTAAAATCCGTCCCTATAAAATGTTTCTCGTACATTTGCAACGAGAAATTCATCCACCGGTAATATTTAAAACTCAATCATCAGTAATAACTTCATGTGCGCTGTAATAATAGTTTACCGTTTTTTTTAAGATTTTTGTGCGCATTTGCTTGTCGCAGTAATCTACGGAACTAATATCGAAATAATAATTACATACCTTAGTTATTAAGTTATGCAAAAGGGACATACTGTAGAATTCCATATCAAAACGGTATTAAAATTAAAACAAAACCGTAAACTTTATGCTCAATACATAAATATTTTATTATAAAAGTGAATTTTGCTTTCATTAAAAATCACTTTTAAAATAATAATGTTGTAATACAAAGTTTATTTTAAATGATTAATTCAAATTGATATGATTAGAAATAAATGTCCCTTTGCAGTAATAATTTATTTATGTGCTTTTCAAATTATTCCCGCGCCGAATCAAAGTTGTAAAATCAGCTTTTCTCACCTATGTTTTGGTAAGTATGTACGACGCGAAGAAGTTAACCTACAATAAGTTTGGCTCTGAGAAAATCGTTGCCGAAGTTAAGTGGAAAAAAAGTGAAAAATATCCCGCCAAATTCGTAATCAAGAAATTTTTCTTGTGATTTTCAGATTGAGCCTCGTAATACAGAAAAGATATGTCAATGATAAAATACTTACTTTAAAAAAAAAATTAACTGGAAAAATTAGTTTATTCGTGAAATTATTCCACAGCTAGAAGTAAGCCACAAACAAATGAAATATATACTTATATATACTTAACTAGCGACCCGCCCTCGCTTCGCTTCGGAAACATTAAATTTTATTATTGATAGGCGAGTCCCGCCATGTTGCGCGCGGTATAATACGACAATAACTGCGGGTGACGCCGCGGGGCGAAGCTAGTCTAAAAAAAGTAGCCTAAGTTACTCCTTATATCATCAGCTACCTATTAGTGAGTCTAAGACATATGTAAAATTTAGTTTGAACAGCTCTAAATATAAAAATGAGTTGCTGTTCGTTAGTCTCGCTAAAACTCGAGAACGGCTGAACCGATTTGGCTAATTTTGGCCTTGAATTATTTGTGGAAGTCCAGGGAAGGCTTAAAAGGTTAGATAAATATGAAATTCTCGGTATTAAATAAAAATAACAATTTTGTTTTTCCCGTCGAACGGATTCCTTTTGTTTGTTTTAAGTTTACTCTATACAAAAGCTTAGGTCTTTTATTCATCGATTGAGGCACTACGAAGTCTGCCGGGTCAGCTAGTAAATAATAAATTTGCTTTTGTTTTTATTATATCACTTAACGAATCTCCTCGGAATCCCAATTAATACACTGTATAAAATCCTCAAGTTGCGCACTATATCTATCTACACCAAAAGACAAAGGGAATAATTCGAAAACGCACTTAATGTTGCTAAATTTGAACTTTTTTTTAGCGTAGTATAATTTGTAGCAAACACAGGCTGGTACCTGTATTTTCTGATATTATGTATGTTTATAGATGTAAGTTGTAAGTCATTACGTTCAACGCAGTCAGTAACATATTTTTTCACTTCCGGGTACATTTTTTTTGCTAATGATTAACCAAACACAAGCTCACAGCGTATTTGATATTAATGTTAATCATATCTTGACGTCCACGGGCATATAAATACCAGGGTTAAACTCTAAATAAATATTCTTTCAGTTCAAATTTCTCAGTTCCTTAGAACCAAATCACTAATCATATCAAGCTATTGAGATTTGCAATTATTTCTAATCTGCATAGGTAAATTAAGAAAATAATTTTCCTTAAACTAACTGTTATGATATTTATGATAAACAAGCATATTCCGTAACGAAAAAAATACAATAAGCAAAACTATTACATTATCAAATCCAGAAAGATGTTATAATTTGGACGTATGTTACTGACCACGCGGGACGGTTTGAATAAGTAGTGATCAATAAAAAAAGGAAATATTCGGAAAAAAAAAAGTAAAATCATGAAGTGTATTGTAATCCAACTGAATTGTTAATACTACTTATGTATTCTGGAAAGTTACGTATTAATTTATGTCCCGATTAAAATTATTGGAAATAATAATTTGGAATTTTAATTTTCTAAAATATCAACCTATCAACTCGTAAGCAACTGCTTCCCGAATGAACTTACTAAGGGATCGGAACCGCGACCCGCTGAGAAGATCCAGCGAGAAACTCGGCGGCCTTCGCCGCATGGGCACGCATGGGTTAGGTTGCAAGAGTTCGACGAGTACGGTTACCGGGGTCCCTAAGCCTGATCCTAGCGTTAGAGCTGAAGGCATCTAATCCAAGAGTTATTGGATCTGATGGATGCGTAAGGACGTGTCTAAGGCGTCAGAGGTGACTGGCTTATGCGTGATCAGAATTCTGTAAGCAGTCAGCCGCGGCAACAATAAAGCGCTTGTCATGACGAGACAGCATTCTGTCCCCCAGATATAATAGCGCTAGAATTTTTTTTAAATATTAGAATTTAGGGCATCTAGAAAGACGAATCTAAAAGCCGCTTTTTATTTCTATTATTTTTTTTACTCAAACTTCCCGTTGAACATCATTCGAGATTCGAGACATATCAGAGGTTAATAATCTTACTCTATGCATATCAGTTAGCAGATGCCAGATCAATAATTTAATTGTTCCACTGTTCAATGAAACCATTAAAAAAAGCGATTCTCCTTCAAGTTTTTTATTTAAATTATAACATTATTCACAGCAAAATAATAATAATACTACACTATGATAGTTCATATTTAGCAGGATTGGAATAGACCCTTCTTGCGCATCTCCTCAAATTCCTTTTCAGCATCATAGGTTCTGTAACGTAACGAAAAATAATTAAAATTACTCTTATGATTTACAAAAATACTTTTATGATTTAATCTGGTATCTATTTTATTGACATTGTATTATTTCCAACGTTTTCAATACTTTACAGCTTTCATGGTTACGGCCAACGATCATTATTTTCTAGTGCCATTTCCCAGACCCTAATTCACCCATTGTTTGTAAATATTAAAATTGTCTATTAAATCATAATATTAAAAATTGGTTTTGGTATCTTTAAATTGAATAAAAATCACACAGGATTGCCTCGTGTTTGCCAGTAAGAGCATAAAGGGGCAAGGGAAAAAGGGCTATTCTTTGAAACAATCTTCATAAAAACAATCAGCGCACCATTTACCTACCACAATTTGACAGTGGGACTGAGTCAGTTTATAGATGAATATTGTAAGTGTTAGATTGTAAATTTTAGTGTCTGTTCCCAATATATTGACAGTTAATAAGTTATCAATAGTTTAATTTTACACTAGTGTATCGTACAATTATCCAATGTGCATCCAGTACATTCGAAATTAATGTTTAAATTACAATGAGAAAGTTACTTCAAGCTTATTATTGTATTTATGTATATTTATAGATGGTCAATGAATTCGTTTTCAAATAATTGATCACAATGAATATGAGTTTTTAATAATAATAGATTTTTTTAAATTATAAAACATATTTTCACTTAGATTACTATTCCCAGTTATTTCAAATTTTCACTAAGTTGAACTTTTACTAGATTGTTTTTCAATTTGAACTCAAAATTGAGTAAGTCTACATTTATTCATTGTAAATTTGAATCACATTATATGCTTCCCTTTATAATATGTTCTTGACTTTATAGTAGTTAATAATTTAATAAATATAAAAATGAATTGCTGTTCGTTAGTCTCGCTAAAACTCGAGAACGGCTGGACTGATTTGGCTAATTTTGGTCTTAAATGATTTGTGGAAGTCCAGAGAAGGTTTAAAAGGTAAATAAATATGAAAATACTCCGAATTAAATAAAAATAACAATTTTATTTTTCCTTTGATGTGTCCCCCGTCGGACGGATTCCTTTTGTTTGTTTTAAGTTTATTTTATACAAAAGTTTAGGTCTTTTATTTATCGATTGAGGCACTACGAAGTCTGCCGGGTCAGCTAGTAATTTAATAAATAAATAGGCAAACTCAAAACAGTTCAAAAAATTACAATCTCGTCTTATATTTTGTTAGTGTTGTATTGTTGAAGTGAAAACTTCTTTAGAATCGTTGTGATTTCAAACCGGATGCAACGGAAAAAACGACAGGTAAGAGACACAAATACAAAAATGTGTAGGATGAAGCCAGCAAAGAATGAGACAGAAATATACATACTACTTAATATAGCGCCACCTGTGAGATTTTGTAATACTAAGGTGTGTATGAAAGCTCTTGTAGTGAATTTTAATTTAGGATTATACGTGAAATTAAAATATCAATTCACAGAGGGCGCTACCTTACAATTATTTACTAATGACAAAATTTTACATATACTTAAGACGTTAATGATAATTGTATTTTAATTTTGGAAGGTTTCACTTCTACCACGTGTGAATTGCACACACATTTTGTATTTTTTTTTTGTTAGTGTAAGTTTATTGTTAATTTTTTTTTATTTAAGTTTAGTTTTTGATACACATGGTCTTTTGTTAAAAATCTCAAAACCATACATAAATAAAAGATAACACATAAAACAATTAAAATTTTGTCACTGGAAATGTCAACTATTCAATGAACATTAGCGTATTTTAAAAAGAGAGAGTAATGGGAGTTTTAGTTTTACCTGTAGAATTCAGCATACTTTCTCTTGCGCTCATTACCAATGATCTGTTTGAAGGTAAAACCAGCGACGCCAGAGAGAGCCAAAGCAACAATAATGTTACGTTTGATGACGGCATTGAGGAGACCTCGCATCTGAGGCTTGCTCGCTGTCGATACTGCACTTTCGCCAGCCATCTAATAAGAATATTTACGACTATGTACCCCCACATGAGATAACATAAATAAATCTGCTAATGCCACTACACTGTATTTAACTCACTGTAGACAGGTAGTACAATGACACATCTAGGTAGGCTTCAGTAAATCCTTAACACCAGGTAGCTTATCTGTGGAATTCTTGGTCTTGACGCTCATCACACCTTACGGGTTAATCTTTTTTTTTACAGTAAACTAGTAGGACTAGGTCTGTGGTGGCATTCAGAATGGTTTGTATGTTCTATTAACTTTTAATTAATACTATAGATTGTTTGATAAGCGAGCTCACCTCTTGTACACTAGTAACAAAAAATATTTACATACCACCTTAACTAGACAGGGAACAGTAATAATATACTGAATAAAAAAAGGAAGTATAAATACTATTGAACAGCCGTAGTTTAAAAAAAATCCAGTGATTAGTTGTGAGGTTATTTTAAAAATAGTAATATGTATTTTCGTCGTATTACTCTTATCTTGAACAAGCATAATCCTAAAACTTGATATTCCAAAGTAACTTTAAGTAAATTTGTATTCGTGGCCTTAAAATCTAATGTCCTGCGGTAGAAGCATACGCAATTCTTCAATTTCGATCAGATAATAGCGTACCTACTTAACTTCAATTATCTTACGGCAGTCTTACATAACAGTCACTGTATTCTGTTATTTACAAATACTTGAATCCATTTCCAAATGCAAATCGCTAGTAACGACAAAATATGAATATTATTTTTTTTACTTACGTCTAATTATATTTTTACTGAAATTAAAAATGCCTAATTACACAGTGGGTCACAGTCGTCAGATAACGTCAGATTTGAGAAAAAAATCTATAGTTCATAGGATAAACCTACTAGTCCTTATTTTATTTAGTCTATGGTTGCTGACAGCTTTTTAAATGTCAAATTTTGTTCTCGTGAATCAACTAGAGTAGGTACCGTACTTAGGTACCGAAAATCCACATAATAACCAACCCGGTCATCGCTCTCGTCGAACCCGTCGCTTGCGACGAAGGGCTCGACGAGTAAATTAACCCTCAGACACAGCTTACTGAGTTTCTCGCCGGATCTTCTCAGTGGGTCGCATTTCCGATCCGGTGGTAGATTCTGCGAAGCACGGCTCTTGCTAGGGTTCGTGTTAGCAACGTCGTCAGGTTTGAGCCCAGTAAGCTCACTTACTAGTTAAGGTTACGCTGATGTAGCCTCTCCAGGCTCTCAGCTTAGGTAGGAAAAAAAAAGAATAAAAAAAACCCAACCAATATGCATCAGGATTTTTCCTTTAGCCCTCTTGTTCGTTTATTTGTCCATCAGGGCTAAGAGGCAATCGCAATTCGTTCCGTCTCAAAAAAAAGTGTAGAGATGTTAGAAACATGAGAATTACCTAGAAAATCTCAAAGCACAAAAACGTTTATTTTTTTGTCAGGACATCGTCGACTTTCCGCTTACGCGTTTGGTGCCGTAGGTAGGCTGTGTGTGGAGTTGAATCGACTAAAACTAACTGTTGAAGAGCTAACGTAACCTACTTGCACAAAATGATATATACCGGCAGTTAATAAGCGTTTGTTTTTAATTAACAAGTCTTTCATTAATATTCTATTGTATCGATTTTGATATGAACGTAATGTCTAATGAAATTAAAATGGTTGAATGTAAATAAAACAATAACATTATCTTACATACCATTTTATCTAATATTACTAACCCGCATGCTAATAAATATAATTTATTGTGTTGCCCATGAGTAAGCTTGCTAAGAAATAGCAGACTTGAAAAGTACCGTAAAATGGGGCGATTAGGGACAAATTTCAACTTTATGAGCAATTTTAAGGTAGTTGTTGATGTATATAATGCTATATCAGGATCAAAATGATTGAGTCTTGGGGGCATCTTTGTTGTCTAATTTAAAATTATGCAACTAGCATTCCAGTTTAAGCAAAAAATGCAAAAATATGTGTAATCCCTATTTACCCGAAAATTGCGGTTAATTGGGACGAAATGAGAAATTTGCTAGGGTTGGCACTACTTTTATTTTTATATATAGTTTTAATTTATTTATTTATTTAGTTGCACCAACAAAGTGATCATCAATAAAAAAAATTGAAAAACTGACAAAAGTACATGGCAGACATCACCTCAATTATAGGTGCAATCGACAGTGCTGATATTTCTATCTGGGTTAAGAGATTAGGTGTGTCGGTTATTCCATGGATTAATCAGATGAATACCCCCACTCTGAACAAATATTAAATATTTTATTATGTATTACTTAGACATTTTTGTCCACCTTGAGATTTCATTGATCTTGTTACATGTCTCTGCAAAATCGACTTACTTATATTAAATTGCTTATCTATTTCAACTAAAGACTTATTCCCAATTTCGCTTCGAATAAACCAGATTTTTACCAACAAATTTAAAAAATATTGTTATAACTACATAGACAACCCTACAAACCTGTACCTATTTATACTTAGGTCGTTTCCATTTCACGTATTCTCATCCCAATTGACCCCTTTTTCGTTGTTATTTGTACCTAAGACGTCCCCAATATCCCCAAAAACAACAGATTTTTACATGTATTTTTATTTAATCAAATACATTAAAACCAATAACAACTGAGACTTACCTTTAATATATATGTTGGTTCAAACACTAAATAACGTTTATAAATCATAGTCGTCTTCTATTATTATCAAATAAATAAAAGAGAGCAAAGTTTCTAGCACTAAAATAATTACCACCACAGGAAGTTAATTTGAAACGCGATTTTTTATAAGTTAGCAGTTTTTATCATGCATATTCAGAGTTGTTTTGTGAACTTTCAACATTCTACTATTAAACTACAAAAAAATGGAAGATTTTGCAACGAATATAAAACTTATATTGAGCGTCGAAAGATTTTCCCGGTTTTTTCCCGATTCGCCTTTCGATCCCTAATCGCCCCCTTTACCGGTATGTGTTTAATTCACATAAGGTAGTAACTAGTAAGTAGTCTATCTCATTCACTCGCAATCTAAATTCTATTTAATTATATTTAGTTTAATTTTATTTAGTGTTTTAGTTAGCTTTTCGAGTGCTAATTCCGTCCTTCCAGGTCCAAGAATGTTAAAGAATTTTGATATTAAACAAAATACTAATTACTGCAGTTCTAAAAATCATAATTTTGTCGTAAAAATGCTCTTTCCAAATATGTTGTTTTTTGACAATTTTCTAGACACACGTTTTAAGAATGTAACTTGAATTATTATCTTATTCAGCTGTTAAATAGCTAAACTAGACCACGTGCGCGAGTACTTACGCCGATATCCTTGCCTCTGTCGTTAATGAAATAAGTGTTGCCGGGTTGATTTAGTTATTAATGATTCGTGCTTAGGCACGAAAGCTGAATTGCATCTCATAATTATTAGATTAAATACAGTGTGTACAGTTTGTACTGTCTTTAGTTATATTATCCATCCAACAAAATCCAACAAAAAGTGTCTTAAATTTGTATTCTATCTAAATAGTTTTCATCCTATTATTATTTAGATAGAATGAAAATTTATTACACTTTTTGTTGGATGTTTCTATCTATTATGAAATTTGCATTACTCACTAAACATTTATATAATTAAAAACAGTACAAACTGTACACACTGTATTTAATCTAATTATGAGATACAATTCAGCTTTCGCGCCAAAACGGAAAACAGATGTGCCAATCTGACAACAAAACAAACGAAAAATAGTTTGGAACCTTTGACGAATCACCCATTCCCGATACTTTTTTGACTGAATGTATACTAAAAGTTAATGGGAATTTCGACTGTCACATTTTTTAACCTAATCAAAATGGCTTTTTCTCGGTAGCTAAATGATTCCAATTCAGACTTTAATTAGTCACGAACGAGTTCACGATGCTAGATGGGTCATTCACATTTATACTTAGCTTCTGGGCCTCTACTTATAGCAGAATACCAGGGTCACCAGACTTTCGATGGTCAGTACATGCGAGACACTCGCTCTGTCTCTAAAATGTTGAGGACCCTAACAGAAAACTGTATGCTATGTCTCTGCACCTGGCATTGCCAGTCTGATCACTGAACTGCGCCTTGAACAGTATAAGATTCTCATTGCTCGAAAAGATCGTTCCCTGTCCAGAGAAATTCAGGAATCTATCTAATTAAAGAAAAAAAACCCTTAGCCTTATAAAATACTTCTAATAGCTCCTTTATTAATAGTTAAATATTAAAGTGAGAAAATTAGCACCGTTTTGATTGGCCATGTCCCTCCCTGCCACTGACAAATATAGACAGAGTGAAGCAGTGGGATTTACAAGTTACAGCCTCTAGGCAAAAATACAACCATTTCCAAAATACTAAACGTACACCGTTATGTACAATTATGTACGTCATAGTCTCAATCGATATAGTTAATGTAAACGTCAAAAATGGAAAAACTACAACTTTCAAATTACGGGCTGATCGGATTTTTTATCTGTTTAAGCAACCAAAACCATTATCAGTTGGTTAAATCAGGACATGCAATTGTTCCGTTATTTTTTGGCAATATGTGCCATTAACCATAGGTTATACCATCTCTATATTCAATTTCGGAAACTAAGCATATTTATTCCGATGAGAATAAAAAGATAGGAGCAGATTTCAAAATGTTTCATTCTTAATGTAATTTAAAATAACGAGAACATCTGGATACCAAAAAAATCACACTTTTAATAATGATTATAATATTACCTTTCCTCATCTCATACTCTCATCTCACTCATCTCATACTACAAACGACGATATCTCGAGTCATACTTCGAATCAAAGGTACCATTAAATTTTAAAACAACAAACATTTTTTTTATTCATTTATTAATAAACTAACTTTACAAATTTAATAATAGCAGAACAATAATATTCCTTATTTTTCTTTTTCATTCATAATAATATGATAATAATTCACCATGACTCATCGTACTTTACGAATATAATTATATGATTTAAAAAATAATCTAGAAACGACAGTGAAAGCAACTTACAGAGAAAAAAATAATGCACAATAAAAAAGAATTCATATTCGTAATTGCCAGCAACGAAAAATAATGATTACGGGCATTCTTTTGTCCTAAGTTGTGTACGCGCCGCCCCCTTAAACACATTCTAGAAAAAAATAATATGAATAACAAAGTATTTATTTATTGTTTCAATTCTTTTTTTTTTTAATTCACTATTTCTGCATTCTATTTACATATTTCTTTTATATTATGTTTACATACCAAAACTATAAACGCCATATTCTCTTGTCGTTTTCATTTTTTTATTATTATTATTATTATTTTATTTGTCCCCTATTCGCTATATTTATAATCGTTTAAAAACTATTTGTATTTCTCGTCTCTCCATATTTCTATCGTAAACGTATTTATATATATATAAATTTTATCGGGCATAAATTACTATAGTTAGGTTGAAAGAAAAAAAAAAAAAAAAGAAAACAAAAACAATTACAAAACTGATAACTTTACACCCAATATACACAGCTGGTTGAGAGTTCCTAGTTACAATTATATGGTACAAATTTAACTCTTCACTATATATATTACAGTATTAAGGCTTTTTGCATTACTATAATAGTCCATCCGTGCGGGACACGATCACTAGCCCATTATATACAACACTACGTACATAGACAATCGAAGAAAAAAAAAAACCATTTACATCAAAAGCGTAACACATTATATTAATATCCTCCCGTCTATACATAAAAATTTACAAAAGGATTTATACAGGACGAACTGATATTTTTTTAAATAATTTAAATGAAAAAAAAAATATATATATATAATGTATATTTATATTTGTATTTGAAAAACAAATGTCAATGAACCCGCCGCCTGTCCCGCCTCACACCTCACGCATCCACGGCACACAAGTTACATAGGGCACAATATATCAGGCAATAATTCATTTACTAACATTAAAAATATTCTCATTACACTTTCTATACGCTACGTAAATACATACTAACGTTTAAGACTATCACTGTATCACCTAACTTTCAATGTACTAGTATAAATAGTCGAGGAGTTGCCTCTGTGTATGCACAGCCACGATTGATAGCTCTAAAACCGAATTGATACATTATCAACTAGGCCTTTGAACACATTTTAAAATCATCAAATGATTTTTTTTTTCTTGTTACGCACATAGGCATCTCCCCGCTATCCTATAGAAGTAGGGTATTCGAAAATATAATATTTAAAAGGGTGTAAATTATTCAAATGATTGCGATTTAAGTTAATGATCCTTGTAAAAGCTGTCCAAAAAAGTGCTATACAAAAAGCATGTAATCTTCACATCCATTATTATTGCTTTAGAGTTCTCCCTATGCGACTAGGAACAACAACAAAAAAAATGTCCGCCTAAAAACTTGCAAACTCATAGTATTTTATCAAAAAACTGATTGAAGGACACGTGTCCAATCCGAAAAGAAACAAAAAAAAAATGTCAAAAACATGTCAATAACAGAAGATTGCATTCAACACACTAATGTTAATAATTATTAATAAAAATTGTGATTTCGATAGTAAATACTAGCTTCTAACTAAAATTGGTTTCAGAAATTCGATCATTTATTTACAGTGCACAGACAAAAAAAAACGTATTTAAGTTAATTTATAAAAAGTCACTGGATCAATGATTTGATTGGTTAGAAAAAGGTGAGGAAAAAAAAATACGAGGGCGTACATAAATATCGAAGAAAAACAAAAATGTTAGTTTTACTGGAAGCCCGAACGGATAAGCTGTTGAAACATTCAGTCGCGATTATTATCATTTCACTAAGAAATTTTCGAAGTTTCACACACTCTAAAAATTACATTTATTGGTCGTGAATTATCCTTATTTAACGCTAATCATAACAGCTGTCAAGTTTGGGCGGGAAGACGCCATGTTTTTTTTTTCTATAACCCAATGTTTTTTTTTTTTTAACAAACTCCTTCACTTTTGGTATTTGTCTATTCATATCTGGGTAGTTCATAAAATCATAAACATCGTATTCCCGTCGAAACCGCAAAATTTATTTAACTACACTGCGCTTATGCAACGTTGAGAACGTCACGAATTAATTACGTGCAAAAACGTATGAAAATATCTTTAATTTTTTTTTTTTATTACTGCGATTTATTTTATTTTATATAAATCTCCGGTAGTTTTAACAATGTGCCTATCATATCGAGTGCCTTCTCTTTGTACAATGATATAAAACTAATCACTAGTAATCTAAGGCTTCCCGCTGAGAATGTAGCACGATCGACTTCCCAAGATTAGCGGTCACTTAATTGGAAAAACAAGTTTTTTTTTTAATTTTTTTTTTTAAATGTGATATGACATCCTCTGGACCGGAGCCACGGCAAGTCAACCGATAGTTCACTCAGCGGTAAATTCAGACGCATTCATTTAAAATTAACTTACATTTAATAAAGTAAAACTCGTCAAGTGCTTTTATAGTGAATGGTAACATGATTTGTTCACTAAATAAAAAATATATTTCATAAAAATTATTCACATTCACGTCAGCAGCATTTCGTATTCAAAACCATTGTGACTCGAATCAATTAAAATCGATTAAAATAATGTTTCCGTTATTGTTTTACAATGGACTTTTTTACAACGTACGAATCATATAGCATTTTCATTCGAGTTAAATTTTTAATAAGTCCGTCAGCAATTATGTAGACACGCCAAAGAGTTTTTATTCTATAGATCTTCAGCATAACAACTAATATCTCTCTTGTATCTTATTCCAGTTGGTTCAAACGAGAGAATTTAAATCTGAGATTCTCCATGACGGTCAGCAAAATACAATTTTTTTTATTGGTGCTCAAATTTGAATATTTTGATTACAAAAGCAGCGATTTGAATTTCTATTGAAACTTTAAAAATGTCGCAAATTCGTATAAACACTTCTATGATTCGTCGGCTGGTAGTAAAGTGGGACATTACAATTCTGGTGAATAGGTATCAAAGCTTGAAAGGCAAACGTGACTAAGCGACAATAACTGCTTTGTACATAAATGATAGGCAATGACCATATTCGATGCGTAAATAAAAATATATCTCTAGGTCTATTAAAATAATTTCAATCCTACAGCTAGATTCGTTAAAATAGATTTTGTTTTCATGTATTTCAACTTTAAATTAGTCTACTGTAAATTTCACGCATAGTCGCTTAGTCACGTTTGCCTTTCAAGCGTCGATATATACCTGTGTGATCTGCGTGTATAGTGTACTGTTAGCGGACGGTCCAGCGTCAGTCCAGCAGCGGACACAGCATCAGGCGCGGCGGGGAGGGCCCGGGCTCCGCGCCCGACCGCCGTCACTTGCCGTCCCGGGACAGGCGCCGCCGCCGCACTGCGCCCGCCAGGCCTTCGCCCGCTGAACAACAAGTTGGTGTTCGAGTTTAGAAGATGACTCCATTGGCACGTTCGGCTTGGGATATTACATTCAAAGCTTAAGTTTCATAGAAATAATAGCTACTCTGTATTGTCTATGGTATACCGCAACATACTTGCTATATTTTTATATTTTCCAGAATTTCTGTAAATTAAACGGTTGTCTGGAAGAGATCGCTTTTAGCGATAAGACCGCCTATTGTACAAATGTATCTGCTTTTTGACTGTTCTTTGAATGTAAATTGTGTTTTGGTGTGCAATAAAGTGTATTCTCGCTCTCTCTCTCTCTCTGCCCTGCACACTTTGTAGCAGAAAGAGTCAACCCGGTGGTATCGACTAATGTGAGTTTACAGTGGAATAATAATGGCAATTAAACTTACCGGCACTTCTCGTTTTTCTTCTGACGGGAGCGGGTACAGGGGGGGCTGGAGCCGGCGCCGCGGCGGGCGGGGCGGCGGGGGCGGACGCGGGCAGCGCGGCGGGCGCGGGGGCCGGGGCGGGGGCGGGCGGCGCGGTCATGCCCTGCCTCACAGAGCGCCGCGTGCTGATACCCTCGGCAGCTTTCGCTCCCCCGCGCCCCGCGCTCCTCACCCCCTTCGTCGGTTTCCCTCGCACTTTACAAATTAGAGGCTCGTCGCTGTCGCTGTCCGAATCCTTCTTGGTTTTGAGGGGCGCTCCCGTTGGATTGACCGGTTTCAAATCAGTTCGGCGCGGTTTCTTTTTCGGTCGAGCGGCGGGCGAGAGGCCCTCCTCGCAACTGAGGGTGGAGGCACCGGAACTTTCCGACTCGCGGCGCTTCCGCTTGACGACGGGCGCGACGGGGGCCGGGGGGCGGGGCGCGGGGGNTGTCGCTGTCCGAATCCTTCTTGGTTTTGAGGGGCGCTCCCGTTGGATTGACCGGTTTCAAATCAGTTCGGCGCGGTTTCTTTTTCGGTCGAGCGGCGGGCGAGAGGCCCTCCTCGCAACTGAGGGTGGAGGCACCGGAACTTTCCGACTCGCGGCGCTTCCGCTTGACGACGGGCGCGACGGGGGCCGGGGGGCGGGGCGCGGGGGCGGCGTTGCGCGGACTGATCTTGTCGTCGGCGACGGCGCGCAGACAGTTCCTCGGCTGCAGGGCGGGGGAGTCAGCTCGATCCGCCTTGGTTCTGACGGGCGAGAGGCGCGGCTCGGCGGGGCTGTTGAGCTTGCTGCTGGCGCGGGTGCGGACGCTGGTTCTCGCCACGCGCTCGAGTGCCGACGGAGATGGCGACTCGGGCCTCTTCCCGACATAGTCCGGAGTCGGAATCTCTATCAGCAACTGCTCCAGCAAACTCTTATCGGGAAAGTCAGCTTTCAATGGTAGCCTTTCGATTTTCGTCTCCCGTTTCTCATCGCCCCCGGGCCTCGTCTCGCGACTTTCGGTTCCAGGTTTCTCTTCCTTGACGTTAGATTCTGGATCACCTTTTTCTTGATTCGAATACGTATAAAGGGGCGGCGACATTCTACTGGGCAGCGGATCGAAGTCTGGCTCCTTCTTGGCACCGCCCGGGTCGTCGGGGACAGAAGAGGGAGTGTTGGTGTCCCCGCCGCCGTCGAGTTCGGGTTTCGAGTGCGGTTCGTCGGAGGCGGAGGGTTCGTCTCTTTCCCTCAGGATGGGCGTCGGTTCCCGTTCTTTGGTGTGTTCATGTTGCAGCGGCCGGTCGCCGTTAACTCGTCCCGCGTGCATCTTGGCGAGCTCGGCCTCGATGTCCCCCGGGTCGTAGAGCGGCACGAGCAGGTCGTCCGCTGCGGGCGCGGGCTCGATGACGCCGATGATCCTCTGCACGGAGGCGGGGCTGGTGGAGCGCGGCATGTCGAGGTGTTCCTTGCGCTGGGGTCCGGGCGGGGACTGGCTGGCCTGGTTGGGCGACTTCTCCGAGAGCGCGTCCATGGACTCGATCCCCGAATCCTCTCCCTGGGCCTGCGAGGAAGGCGAGCGCGCAGACAGTTTGTCGGCAGCTCGCTCGGCGACGAGCTTGCAGTAGGACTTGTCTTTGGGCCGCTCCCTGCGCCGCGGAGACGAGCCGCCGGGAGAGGAGCCGGCGCTGACGGTGCCCGTGTTGGTGGAGCCCGGCGGATCTGAAACACGTTCATTGTACATTGTCGTCGTTCTCTTTCGTAAGTCTACTAAAATAATTTTAAGAATGTATCCGTGTGAAATGTTCAATAGATAGAAAAAAAATTATTATTAAGTTCCTGTGAAACATTTTAAGAATAAGGTAAATGGCGATACGGTTTCCTACGCACATAAGAGTCATGCGATCCGGGGAGTCGGAGGGACGGTGTTAGGGCTCCGTGCCGCCGAGCTCACAACACCAGAGGCATAGCTTCCCTCGGGACCTACTCGCGCGCAGTACAACGAAATGGAGAGCACCCGTCCGGATCGTTTTACTTTACATTATAAACGCCTTTGATTGTGCTGAAGAATTTCCAAAGATTTCAATTCAAATTACAACATGCAAAACGCAAATCATGCATACAAAATTTAGAAAAAGCATAGTGTTTGTTCAATAAACATTTCATAGTTAATACGTTGATTAGTTTTTAGTCTCACACAGAAATCTAAATAATAAGACAATAGAAGTGGCAGAGTTGTCTAATATTGTCACATTAGGCATTTGTAGTGCTTATATTTCTTTTGATGCGTAGAGAGAAGATACATGCGACTGGGAGATGTATGGAAATGGTAGTACAAGGTAGGGAGGGAAGAGGTCGACCGAAGAAGACATGGACGGAGTGTGAATGATGATATGAGAGGGAGGAGTGAGTGTTGAGATGAAATTCGCTGTGCCGACCCCACCTAGTGGGATAAGGTGGTGAAAAAGAAGTCTTTATCATTCTTTTATAGACATGTCAGCATGATAGCAGTTCATTTTATACATTTAAGTTTTAGTTTCATCCACGTGCAGACACAAAGTATTATTTTTATATTCTAATGATTATTTACTAACTCTACAAGTAATATCAATTTCATACAAGTTTTTTTTTTCATTTGAACATACTTATATGGGACTGGGATTACACTCTCAAATGTTATTTTCTATACGTGAATTTGTTATTTGGCTCTGACAACTTTTGTTTTTGTGAATTGAATACAAGATTAGAAAATAAATCTTGAAGTAATAAAATACCAAGCACACTTTATTGGTCTTTTAATTTGTGTCATTTATCTGTTTAATGATTTAAATGAGCAGGCAATTGAGATTACTACTAACTGTAGATACTATACTGTAGATTACTTTTACTACTAGCTCTTACTGTACTAGATAGAGCCCATAAAGCAGAACTGAAGATTTTGGTACTAACATAATGAAAAAAAGATTGATGGGTTGATTTGGTTTCTCAACAACAAAGCACTCAACAGATCTTTAAACATAGGGCTTTACTCACCTCACAAACATGACAATGAAATGGTAATATCAATGATGGTGATATTGTATCACCCAAACACAAAATAGAAGCAATTGATGTTTTTTGGATTTTTGTTGGGACATGTTTTTCTGGGAAAAACTATAATTCCTTGTATTATAGAGACCGATCAATATACATATTTATATTTGTTGAAAAATATACATATTTTTACAATAAAAACAAAGACAAGGAGCAAATAGACCTGATCATCACACAAATGTTTGCCCAATGTGGGAATTGAACCTATAAATCTCAGTTCAACAATCAGATCACTTTAATTGGTGTCACTTTAATCTAAAAACTAATCTATATGGAACATAAATTTTATAAAAATCTCAAAAAATATTTAACTTATTTGATAAACATAACGATATAGCCAAGGAAATGAATGATACTCATTAAAATTCTAGAAAGGGGTGACAAAAACTCATTGCTAGGATGAGCAACCAACCATCTACTTCCAATTCATTTAAAAACAATTCTTTGTTTTAGTGTTTGCCTTAGTGTAAAATAATTCTTATATGTTTCATGAATTCATGAATTAAAGTGGTTCATTTGAATTTCGATATCATCAAATATGACTTGGTAATGAGAATTTACTTAGTTTTTTTTGTATGGTCTACAAATCTGTGGGTATTGTTTACATGTGATTATGAGTGCAAAACGTCGACAAACGTCCGAATAGTGAGAACCTTAGATAGCACTTCTATGGCCTTATTATTAATCTCTATGCAATAATGACCTATGTAACCATGCACATTTGTACTCAGGCATGCCATAGTTTTCAAATATATTAAAATTTTCCATTTTTCTGACTAATTGTTTTGTTTATTATACCACAATATTTCTTAAATCATAATCGATACGACATAAAATGCAAGTCAGGCAGCTATTGAGAGCTTTTTTTTGTCTTTAACATTAGTCAATTATAACCGAAATTTTACCTGAATTTTTGTTCCTAAAACAATTAAGTAATTAAGTTATAGAACAATACGAAAATACAGAAAATAAATTAGAGGATCAATCAAAACTATGTTATTGCATATTATTTAAGCATTGAAGTAAGATAACACAAGCATACATACCTGATAAGGAACTATGACTGGTTTTCCTCTTCTTCTCAGAAGTAAGGAGTCCATTAGGAGAGGTAATTGCACTTTCGGTTAGTGTCCTTTTTAACTTATTGTCACTTTCAGAAGNATACGAAAATACAGAAAATAAATTAGAGGATCAATCAAAACTATGTTATTGCATATTATTTAAGCATTGAAGTAAGATAACACAAGCATACATACCTGATAAGGAACTATGACTGGTTTTCCTCTTCTTCTCAGAAGTAAGGAGTCCATTAGGAGAGGTAATTGCACTTTCGGTTAGTGTCCTTTTTAACTTATTGTCACTTTCAGAAGTCCTGTTCTCACCCTCGATTAGCGTCCATTCCACTTTACACTTGTCACTAGCACCTTTCTCACATTCTGCGTCCGATTGCACCGTCTTCCCGTCACTGGACCTATCACATTTGACACCATCCTTTCCGCTAGGTAACTTCTTTTTTACTTCATGATTGTTAGGAGTCTCTCTGTAACCCTCATTCTGTGCATACTTCCCTTCTTTCTCTAATAAGTTGTTCCGCCAATCTTTGTCTTTTTCTGTTTTATCCTCGCTGAGTATTTTGAATTTCTTTTTAACTTTCAAGTCCATCATCTGGACCTTGTTGTTGAGTTTGTAGTCGTGGGACTTGGTGACTATGTGAGCGTTCTTCGATATAGTCTTCATTCGGTAGACGACGTTATTGTCTCCCGTTATTTCGGTTTTGACCGCGTCGCCGTCGTAGTGGTTGTTAAGCTTAATGCCTTTCGCGTTTAAATACTCATCAGTCTTGTTTTCGGCACCATCGCCAGACTTCGAAGCGATGCACTCGTCCGACTCCCGCCTGTGCGGTTTTTCGTCTTCTAGCGCTTTCTTGATTTTAACTTTCTTTGTGTGCAAATCGCCCGGACTGAATTTCTTTTTCTCCTTTTTGGAGTTCTTTATGACAGCAGAATTTCTTCCCTTTAGGCTTATATGCAACGGCGGCACTCTGAGCTCACCGTCAGACTTCTCGCCCTTCTGTTGATTGACGAAGCTGACGTCCGCCTTGTAGACCGGTTGGACGACAGGCTCGTTCTTGTCGAGCTTCGTCTTCGTAAGCCTGAGCTTGATGGACTCCTTCTCTCCGGGCGGCGACTTGGGCGCGTCGCTGGTGGGGGTGGCGGGCTTCGTGAGCACGGGCCTAGGTAAGGCAACTTTGGTGGACTTAACGTCGCGGATTATTTTATCCTTCAAGATGGCGGGTTTCTCTTTCGCCCCTGTGACACGAGGCTTCCCGCCCTTTTGAGCGACTAGTTTCTCATCACGATCCTTTTTCGTCAACTTATTTTTTCTCGCTTCATCATCCTTCTTCCCGTCATCTTCGGGTATCGACTTCGCGATACCAAATATTTCCGGGATCGTATCTGTAGAGTTTTCTTTGATTTTACATTGCACGACAGTGATCTCGTCGACTTTTTTCTCGGGCTCAGACGGAGGTGGAGGTGGCGGCGCTGGAGGAGGCGAGTCGTCGTCTCGCATGAGCGTCTTGATCAGGTACTGCTTGTTTTGTTCTTCGATCTCCTGCGCGGTGGCCTGCGAGCCGACCGTGGCGGTGCTCACAGACGTCGTCCTCATCGGCAACCGCATCGGCGGCGGCATCGACGTGTGACCAGGCGACATTTGATTCGTTGGATGCTGATTTTGACTCATCTGCCCGTGATTCGAATTCGCTTGACTCGACACCGTCCGCACCAGTTCAGAGTTACACGACACGGGCGACGCGTACGAGGTCGGCGGTGATTTGAAAGGGGGGTGATGATTTGTTTGATATTTAGACGTTTGCGGCACAGGAGGGGGTGGCATAAAAGTCGTTTCACTGTCGAAAGATTCTGATTTAGAAGGCACTTCACTTGCGGAGGACGTAGGGGGTTCTGAGTAGGGTCCGTTGACCTGGGGTGGAAACTGCCCAGTGATCTCGTGAAGCAGCGAGTCGGGCGTAGGAGCAGCACCGCCGTCGTACAGTAGGTCGAGCTTGCCGGCCGCGTCCAAGTCCGAGATCGCCGATAATGCGGGATCATCCAAGTTCAGATCGGCACCCAACGTCGGCAGCAACTGATCCAAATCCGTGTCGGGTAGCTCTGGTAGCTGCAGCCCTGAGAGCGAGTCTCGGTACGGTTCACCCCACTCCGACCCGCTCGTCGTGGAGCCGGCCGCGCTACGAGAATTTGCTCTCTGCAGCGCGATGTACTGCTGTTGATACCTCTGGAATTCCTGAAAAAATAATTTTGAAAAGGTTAATAAACTACATTTCAACTCGTAGTGTGTATTAGCAGACAGATATTATTTAAACGAACCTGAAAACTGGACTGAGTCTTTTGATCCATAGATGTGGTGGGCGGAGGCAGTAGAGCTTGCAGGTCTTCGGGAGTGACCCTCGAGGACTGTGGCGGCGGTGTCGGGGGCGGGGCGGCACGAGGCGGCGGGGGCCGTGGCGTCGCTTGCCGGCCGCCATACGGGGGCGGAGGACCAAACGACTCGGTCGAGTACGTGCCCGGCTGAAATCGAGTCCGGGACACGACCGTTGCATTCGGCGCTGGCACTGTACGATACGTCACAGTGGGAGGTGGCGGCGGAAGACTGGGCCTTGCCGGGGCAAAGGCTCGCCGGATGTAAGGTGCGGGCCTAGGGGCCGGACGTGGTGTCGGGGACGGGGCCGGGGACGGCGAAGAAGGCGCCGGGGAGGGCGGCATGCGGAGCGGTGCCGGGGTGCGGGGCCCGCGGTACTCAAAAGGCGCACGACCGACAGCTAATTCCACCTGAAAATCATATGTTCACGATTACCAGGATTATACTGCATCAATGATTCCTTATCGACGCTTGAAAGGCAAACGTGAAATCTACAGTAGACTAATTTAAAGTTGAAATACCTGAAAAAAAAAATATTTTAACGAATCTAGCTGCAGGATTGAAATTATTTTAATAGACCTGGAAAAAAAAATTTTTTTTGAGCATCGAATATGGTTATTGCCTATCATTTATGTACAACGCTGTTATTGTCGCTTAGTCACGTTTGCCTTTCAAGCGTCTATATATACCACAATCTCTAAAAACCAAGCTTCGTACTCACCTGTCCGTCTTCAAGCCGATCTAGTTTAGCGGGGTGCTGCGGAGGTTTGGGTCTAGGTTGAGGGGTGGGCGCGTCGTTCTGCAATAAGTTTACGAGAAGAGGCGAAGACATCGCGACAGTGGGGGGCGTAGGCGTGGAGGGAGGCGCCGGAGGGGGCGGCGCGGGGTAGGGCGGGGGCGGCCCTGTGAACGATGATGTCGACGGCCTCGCGAACATGGCATCAGAAGACGGCCTTATGCTACTTGATGAACCACCTAAACCTGAAAAATTATTACAGAGTATTTCACTAATCTTCTATATATATAAAAATGAATTGCTGTTCGTTAGTCTCGCTAAAACTCGAGAACGGCTGGACCGATTTGGCTAATTTTGGTCTTGAATTATTTGTGGAAGTCCAGAGAAGGTTTAAAAGGGGAAAATGTTCGGAAACAAATAAAAATAACAATTTTGTTTTGCCTTTGATGTGTATCCTGTCAAACGGATTCCTTTTATTTGTTTTAAGTTTATTTTATACAAAAGTTTAGGTCTTTTATTTATCGATTGAGGCACTACGAAGTCTGCCGGGTCAGCTAGTTTATAATATAAACAGATATTACACAAAAATAGTTATAAAAAAAATTTCTACAATTTCCACCCAACTCGCAAACTTTCATTGTCAAAGCCGTCAACAAAACAGATTAAATAAATACTAACCTAAAGTATTCTCTTTCCGGTGTATCACTCTCGCTTGAGTCATACTGCCGAAGGGGAATTCACATCTGTCTGTGGTCGGCGTGGGAATGTTCTGCGGTATCTTCCCATCCATTGGACAGACAGTGTTGGGGGATTTGAAGTTGTCCCTGTTCTGAGTGGAAGATGAAGGAGTGGCGTCAGCCGAGGTGGACGCTCCGTCGGCCCCCTCCATCAGCCGGCCTATCCCCTCTAAGCCAGCTAACAACTCCACGTTCGATTGCGATCTTGATGAGCTCGCGTCTGCGAAAGATATCTTACTTAATATCTAGTAAAATTTATTTTCCCTATTAAATTTAATTTCTTATTAGATTACCATAAATGGACAGTTCCTTGGAAATGGACGTAATTAAATTCTGCCCACTTTTCGTATTTTATATATATTTATATATTTTATTATTATTAATAGGTAACATTACATTTAAATATGTATAATTAATGCTTTAAAAAAAACGTTGCATTCCAGTTTGAAGAGACTGAGATCTCATATCTCAAACTTGGCGGCGACATTCACGTTCTGAAGTTTATGGGTTCCATTAACCACTTGGGCACTTGATGGACAGTGAGTTCTTGTTTTTTTTTTCTACCTAAGCTGATAGCCTTGAGAGTCTATTTCAGCGTAACCTTAACTAGCGGTGAGGTAACTAGGTGAGCTCACGGGGCTCAAACCTGAGTGATGCCAACACTGACCCTAGCAAGAGCAGTGCTTCACGGAATCTACCAACGGATCGGAAACGCGATTCACTGAGAAGATCCGGCGAGAAACTCAGTGGGCTGTGTCCATGGGTTAATTCGCTCGTCGAACCCGTCGCTTGTAACGAACGGTGACCGGTGCTTGAGGTACCTAAAAGCAGTGTTAATGGATCGGGAGGATCCGTAATGACGTGTTAAATGTGCTCATTCACTGGTGTTAAATGAGCACATTCATTTTTACTGGTGGTAGGACCTCTTGTGAGTCCGCACGGGTAGGTACCACCGCCCTGCCTATTTCTGCCGTGAAGCAGTAATGCGTTTCGGTTTGAAGGGTGGGGGCAGGCGTTGTAACTATACTTGAGACCTTAGATGGGCTCCAGTAATCACTTAACACCAGGTGGGCTGTGAGCTCGTCCACCAATCTAAGCATTAAAAAAAAAAACTGGTGTGTGCAATACAAAAAGCAACACTCACCATCACCATCGGCGCTTATGGTCAGCTCAGCCCCGTGCTGTAGCCGCAACGAGACGGCAGCGTCGCCGTCAAGTTGCACGGAGAGGATTCCGAGCGCCCTCAGCTGGGGGGCTCCTCCCATCGCCAGCGCCCGGAGCCGAGCCGCGGCCGCTCGTGGCACCGACAGTGTGACGCGAACCGAGTTCCATGGCTCCACCTGCGGGATAAATAAACACTTTATAAAAATTTGTAAATAACCTATACTAGTTACATCAAGGGGGCTGGTGGTCCTGGCGCCGACGACCGACGGTCCAGCGTCCGGAGGGGGAGGGTGATGGGAGAGATGTGCTCCACACTAAACGCTTCACTTTCCCCCCTTTGCCTTTTCATGAGTTCTGTCTCATACGAGGTTTGGACGTTGGTTGTTGAGCGACAGGTTTTAGTCAGTTCGACTCTGACATGCCCCGCCCTCCATCCCCAGTGGAGGGCGGAAGTCTGGCGATTTCCTTTGATACCTATGTCAATCGAAGAGGATGTACAAATTATCATTCCCGATTCTGCGGACAGAATGGAAAGCAGTCGAAGTCGCCCAATACAAGTCATTTCGGATCCTCCCGATCCACTAACGGTGCTTTTAGGTACCTCAAGTACCGGCCATAGTTCTCGTCGAACCCGTCGCTTGCGACAAAGGGCTCGACGAGTAAATTAACCCACAGAAACAGCCCACTGAGTTTCTCGTAGGATCTTTTCAGTGGGTCGCGTTTCCGATCCGGTGGTAGATTCTGCGAACGGTCTTGCTAGGATTCGTATAAGCAACGTCGTCAGGTTTGAGCCCCGTGAGCTCACCTACTAGTTAAGGTTACGCTGAAATAGCCTCTCAAGGCTATCAGTTTAGGTAGAAAAAAAATACAAATAATAATATGGTGGAGATTAGAAGCGGAATTTATTTCGAAAAAGTACACGTGTAGACAATAACTTTTAATTTAACACTACCTACTCAATGAAATAATTTAATAGATTGTACTATCATCGAATAGGTGAAATTGTTTCAGCTCTATCGATTGGAACCAGTTTGAAAATTGACTTGCAAATTTTGACCACACCACCGTCTTACGAACAGGTAAAGCTAAAAAGAAACTTACAATAAAAGCGTCATCACGAAATAATTAATTAAGCTAAAAACTTTTTACAAAATAAGTGTGTGTATGCGTTTTGTAAGTGCAAACTCGTTTTTAAGTATTCGTCGTGAATCAATTCGCTGTTCGCAAATTATAATAGGTTTTCAGATTTATTTCTTCGTGTACTTAAGTTTAAAGAGGCAACTGATATAACTATATTCCTTTCTGCTATCTCAGACGTAAATTTAAGAAACTGAAGAAATAATGTAAATCTAATAAATAAATTAAAAAAAAAAAACGAATATTCCACTGACGATAACATGAATAAAAAGAGACGGCTTCCGAGATGAAGAAATAACATTGTTTAATGAATTATATGATGTTGTGTTCGTGTTCCTATTATCGGTCTACACGGGTGCGGAAAACCACCACCGCATTCAGGAAAGGGAATATAGCACCAGTTACCCCAAAACCGGTAACCAATACCGCTTATCCTTAAAAACCTGCTTGTTTACGGGGCCTTCCAGTTCTAAGCTCTGATGATTGAAGATTCAAAGTCCGAAAACGTATTTGCATTAATTTACTTTTTAGCTTATCAACATAATAAATTCATATGACATGTTAATATGTTGCGTTTATTGTAAACAAGTAATAAACCTACATAATTTAGTGAAAACGCATTCGACTTATGAGCACGTGTCACTTCGAGGGCCAATAAGCCCTCGTGTGACGTCACGCCGATGGAATTATAGCATAGTGCACGTAGCGACCACAAATTTTCGTGCGTCCCATGCCTATGTTGGACGCTTCGCATGCTCGTGTGGTGCGACCATACACTTCCCCAATTCTGGAGCAGTTACCATTCTTGAAAACAAATATGTGTATCAACCAACGAGGTGGACCGTCGACCTGGTCAAAGTGGCTGGTAGGGGCTGGATGCGAAAGGTAAGAGACCGAAAAGAATGGAGTGCCTTTGAAGAGACCTAAGCTCAGCATTGGACGGACACGAGTTGAAGAAGAATCAGAAGATGTATGTATGACGCGGTCACCAACGACTTCAAGGTAGGGAGTGGATGCGAAAGGCAATAAACCGAAAAGAATGGAGTGCTTTTGATGAGACCTAAACTCAGCATTGGATGGACACGAGTTGAAGAAGAATAAGAAGATGTATGTACGACCCGGTCACCAACGACTTCCAGGTTGGGAGTGGATGCGAAAGGCAATAGACCGAAAAGAATGGAGTGCGTTTGAAGAGACCTAAGCTCAGCATTGGACGGACACGAGATGAAGAAGAATAAGGTGTATGTATGACGCGGTCACCAACGACTTCCGCGACGAAAAATGCGTGTTATAAAATCTAGTCGACAATAGTATATATTTTTTTCGTAGCCACTGGTGGTTGGTCGTGTCGGAATACGCAGGGGCCGGTACCATTTGTCCCTGTATATGTCTGCCATGAACCATGCTCTCGGTTTGAACGCAAAAGGCCTTTAAATATCGGTAAGCAGCAGCTTGGCTTTGCCCCTGGTTTTAATGATGCCCAGTCAGCGCAAGGCAGCCTTCGAAGGCGACTTAATAATTTAGACCTTAAATCCTCAGATACTGCTATTACAAATGGAGGACAGAGATATAATGGCGGCTTAGTAAGGCTTGGCAACAATCTGTGCCTCAGAGCCCAATAGATCGTCTTGAAAGCAAGAGAGCCCAAAAAGCAGAATAATTCAGAAAGCATTGTACATGCAGCAAAGATTCAACAGCAGAAGCTCTGACGTCAGTGAAGGAACTTAGAAAAATAGCTAAGAGATTGTGTTCGGACCGTAAGGTTTTACACGGTTTACCTGGTATCAATTATACCTGTTATTATATATTAGAATAAAACCAAACTAAACCTGATAACAGGTATATTTAATAACTAGTATATTAGATACCTGTTATCGGTACCTCACGACATGCCTTATAGCGTTCAGGACGTTATCTGACCGAAATTCATCCTGTCTATATAACCAAATCAACTACGGTTTGTTTGGTATAATTCTGTAACAGCACCTATCTCGCACAATAGGGAATTTCTCACCAAAAATTGTGATATGATTAAATATTATATAGACTTAAACCTTTCACGTCAAAAAAAAACGTCATTTGGTAGTATTTCACCTCGTGATTTATGCACACGTATGTCTAGCATCACACAACAGTGGTGACGAAGTTAACAATGTGACAAGCACAAATGAGCTCTTTCGAAGGGGGTACTTAACGCAAATATCCTTTTATCGATACCTTTCTTTTTATGATTGAAAGATTACAGGTGGCCCAAAGGCCTTTCCAGTTTCACCCGGACAGAAGGGCGAGCATAGGCTCAGCCAGGAGGGGTGGGATTCGCCAACAACTGCCCCAGCGCCTCCGAAGGAGACCTAACAACTCAAGAGCAATTGCTTCGCGAATTAATCTACTACCGGATCGGAATCGCAACCCGCTGAGAAGATCCGGCGAGAAACTCAGCGGGCTGATGCATGGGTTAGGTGTATTCGATACCCTGCGCCACAGAGATCAAGTATCTGGAACTCATCCTGGAAAACTTCACGGCTTTCTGTCGTTCGCATAAAGTCAGTCCAGGATTGTGCCGCATTCAACCTCAGAAGTTTTTACCCCCATGATCTGCTAGCGGAGTAAGATGTATTTTCGTAATCAGGAGATACTTTACAAAACTTGCTTACGTATCATCAACTTTGGTGCTAGTGTTATGTTCGCTTAGACAAACTGCTTGCGTAGACTCCCTCCAATTACTTAATCTCACTTTCTTAGATTAGCCGTCGAAGCACCATGGTTTATGACGAATGATGACCTTAATCCCGAACCCATCCGGGTATATAAAGACGAGTGTTGGAGTGCTTCTTACCGACACGAAGTTGACGCGATAAGCCTCTCATCGTAGCCAGCGGTGATGACGGTTCAGAGCCGGTTAATACGACAGGCAAACTCAGTCGAAGCTTTAGACAGGACTTATTGTATAACGTATCCATCTGATGCACTCTCTTCCAATAGAATGCTTGTTGTCACCATACACGTCAAACTCGTCAATTATCTTGCCGCGACAATAACTTAGTCTAGCATCAACCAGAAGAATTTCTCTCCGGTTTCCGAGGAGGCACTTGGACAATAGATAGCGATTCACCCTCTAGTCCTGGAGAATTTGGAAAGGCTTCCGGGCCACGAGCATGGCCCTATCCCAAAAACATGCATTGCCTTTGTGTGGCAATAAATTAAATTGAAGGTATTTCACCATTTTAGCGTAACCGATCAGTCTCATTGCAGCTCATGGTCAACAAAAGGTATATTCAAACATCAAGGTCTTTTATAAACGACTGTCAGTCAGAAACCGCAAGATCCCTTCACGGTATAGATGGGCACAAAACCCAATGTCAGGTATATTAAACCATTTTTCTTCTTCTATTTAAATAGACAAGTTATAACTTCATAGCAGAAACTGTTTGAGCAACAATTAGTATCTTGTCTAGGATGCACCAACTATGCCAAAGTTGTTTCAGTGTTACATAGCCCATTTATTGAGGAAGGCTATAGACTATATAACAGCACGGTAAGACCAATACAAGTGGAGCACCAATAAAGAATGTTTCAAAATAGGGGTTTAAATGGCTCCTCAACATTCTATAATACAAAAAAAAAATCACTTTCTACGTAAATGAAGTGGGGGCTAAAATTTAGCATTATGCCAAAGTAACTATTCCACGCAGACCGAGTCGCGGGCAAAGGCTAGTAAAATATATATTTTTTTATTTCTTAGATGGGTGGACGAGCTCACAGCCCACCTGGTGTTAAGTGGTTACTGGAGCCCATAGACATCCACAACGTAAACGCGCCACCCACCTTGAGATTTAAGTTCTAAGGTCTCAAATATAGTTACAACTGCTGTCCCGCCGTTCAAACCGAAACGCATTACTGCTTCACGGTAGAAATAGGCAGGGTGGTGGTACCCACCCGCGCGGACTAACAAGAGGTCCTACCACCAGTAAACTCACAAGAGGTCCTACCACCAAGTAAACTCACAAGAGGTCCTACCACCAGTAAGTACCACCAGTAATATAAAAAAATATCGCCGTTATACCTTGTTAACTTTGAGGTGCTGTGGGTGCGGGTCGGCGAGCAGCGTGCGCAGGTCGCGCAGGAGACGGCGTAGGCGCGTCGGGAAGCGAGGGTCGCGCAGGTCGCCCTCGCAAGTCACCACCACGCCGCACCAGCCGCCGCCCGCCGATCCTGGCCCGTCGCTGTCCGCTGCCATACTACCAACAAAGCACACCACATTCACAGCACACAATGAGCCACAGTAAGTCTTATAGGGTACACAATACAATATCATCTTATAGGTGCAAAGGGTACACAATACAATATCGTCTTCTCGCATTAAATCTGTATTATTAAAACTGCCTATTGTACAAATGTATCTGTTTTTTTAATGTAAATTGTGTTTTGGTGTGCAATAAAGTGTATTCTCTCTCTCTGTAAAACTGTATAATCTCAAAACTAAATAATTTTACAGGAGAGTGTTTTAAAGGTTTAACATGTTATATTTTTAATATTAATCATATTTTCCAACATTTATTTTTTATTTTTTACCAGTTACATTATCTGTCTTTTAAAGTAAGATAAAATTATGTATTAATTTTGTTAGTCAAAACATAGATAAGTACTTAAAAAAACTAAAACTAAACTATGCTCTTTTGACAGTATTTATGAGAAAAATAGTGGTGATACCAAATGTTTACACCATATTAACTCAATTTTGAATATTTTTAGAAATTGTACACTTTTAATGCGAAAAGGCGATATGGGGTGTATTGAAAAACATTCTCAAATATTGAAATAGAAATAACATCAATGAAACATAATTAAATTTTTTTTTATCGTTATTACCTCACATATTCACCTATTCGTTGCCTTAACAATAAATTACATATTAAAATTCTTTAATACACATTAATTTTGTTTTAATCTATCTAGTTGATTATTCCCATCTTCAACTTCGAGAATGCTCTTTACAGGCTGTATTTTATCTGTGATTATTAATATAAATAGATACTTTTAGATGAACTTTTGTAAATGTACAATATTCATCTACATTTGGATTTTACATCTCTAGTAGTACCATGTGACAACTAAATCTGTTGCATTATAAATATCAGGTGTTTTCAATTATAAATAAATAAATAAAAATTAAATTTAACCATGTTTATAATGATAAGTATGTCACATATCATTTGTTTAGAGAAACTAAAACTTGCACTTGTCATAACACTTTTACAGAAAATTCACATTTCATGTACTCTGGTGAATTCAGAAATGCTCTTAGTTTCAACAGTAACTTAATACTTTGAAGACCAGCATTAGAGTTCCATAGTATCAATGCGGTCTCACAATATGTTGCACCGTATTTAATATTTTTATCTCATCAAGTTTAAAAAAATCACCAGAAGCTAGCTCTGAATAAATATCTAATTAATGAGCTAATTATGTTCGTTTACTGACATTTACAATTAATATTTCAAATTAACTATTTCAACTCTGAGCAAATTATCCTAAATTTAAAACTTTCATAATGTTTTCTAAATATTAAGAACATAATTGTAGTACGTTAAAAATTATCTTGCATGTTTATTAAAATTGATAGCTTCTCATTTACAAACTAATCCATTTTTTTTCATGAAAGGAAACATAATTTGATAATCAGAAGAGTGATCCATCATGAGTCATGTTGTAATTTTTCCCTGTATCACAGCAAAAAAAGTTATTGCTAATTTAAAAAACTCTGCTGTACTGCAGATTTTCATTCCATAATACGTATGTATTCTTTTATTAATATTTATTCTATGTTCCACAGTGCGTTTCAGTGCGAATGAGCTCCCCTCCACAGTGTTTCCCGAGCGCTATGACATGTCCTTCTTCAAACGAGGCTTGTGGAGAGTATTAAGCGGTAAGCAGCGGCTTGGCTCTGCCCCTGGCATTGCTGAAGTCCATGGGCGACGGTAACCACTCACCATCAGGTGGGCCGTATGCTCGTCTGCCTACAAGGGCAATAAAAAAAAAAATGTAAGAAATATTGTTTTCTTATTTATAATATTATGATTATTATTATCATCAATTCAACATTAGCAGATAAACTTTTTATAAGTTCAAAACTCAAAACGAATGGGTCAGCTCAATTCTAATTAGTATTGTGAAATTATCTTAATACTATATTATGAATAGTGATTAAAATATCTAATAAGTTATGCAGTTCTACACATATACAACTAAATTTACTATTCACTCTACACAGTTGAGAACTTAAATATAGATTAAATCAAAATATATTAAGTACAACAGGTGAATGCTACAAGTGATCTCTTCCAGACAACTGAGGCAGGCACTCATTTTACCCTTTTTTAATTTTAATGCTCTCATGTTTTTATATCTAGTTTATTTATAATCACATCTTCATCGAAAAGAACTTCCATTCAGCTTGAATTATTTTTTTTAAATTATAAAGATTACGTTATTTATTTTCGGTACAAACACAATAGAGATGAGGTATATATCTATTAAGTATGTAGTCCAAAGGGACTTTAGGACCCAATAGAATCAAAATTTACAATGTTTATTAAAATTGAGAAAATAAATTTGAATCAATTTATTAAACTATGTTTATTTATATTGATCATTACATTTTATAATGACCTATCAGAAATTTAAATCTCATGTTAATCAAACTTCAAGGAATCCCATTAATAACCTTAATGACCTGTTAATTAATTTAAATGCAAAATATGTACCTTCCGACCATAGCACTGAATATTTTTTTGTTAAGAACACTTGTTTATTCATTTATATATAGAATTCTACGCTTTTTCTGGATACATGACTTCTTCAAACTAGGCTTGTAGAGAGTACTTAATGGCAGGTTGCAGTTTAGCTCTGCCCCTGGCATTGGTGATGTCCATGGACAACGGTAACCACACACTATCAGGTGCTCATCTGATAAGTAGGGCAATAAAAAGAACCATTTGTCATTGTAAATCCTCATAATTAACAAACTTTTTATAAATTTCCACACAGATAATATTACTAGATATGAAACTAAGTTCATATTTAATTTCCTAAATCTCCTGGATAATTACTAAAAATAATGTATGTATCTTTTGTGGAAACTGGGATACTTTATCGCCCTTTTTAATTCTACAAAATAGATTATAGATGATAGACGATGATAACTGAACCTAAATCCAATTTTAAATGCTTGTGATCAAGAGTGAGCTTTGAAACTCTGAAATAAATAGGTGTGTAAAAAATCAAAATAAACATTTATAAGATTCAAAGTCCATACAATACTTATGAACATTAAATCGTAGCCAAAATTTATCATGACCATTCTATTCTATAACAGCAAGATAATGTTCTTAATCAAAGACAGTTATTGTCAGTTTTATTTATTAATTCGTTTAAAAATTCAATTTGTTTAATTTGGTTATTATAAATATCATTGGCTAAATTTTGTTATCAGAAAAAGAAAAAATGAAGACCTTTAGGAACATACAGAATCCAAAAATTAAACAAGAATAATCCAAAAAACTTAAATGTTTCTTAAAGTGCAACCTTTTTTATTCAAATACAATGCAAAGGTGTTTAGGTTATTGTATTTTTTGGTAATAAGAAGAAAACTACATTTTTTTTTAATTTGTTTTCGACCTATAATTACTGTAATTTTGCAATGATCATTTTATTTAATTAACAAAATAAAAACAGAATATTTGTATAATTTTTTTTTAAATCCAATTGTGCAATGTTTTTGAAAACAGTTTTTATGGAAACTTATAAGATATTTTCCATAGACAATGTATTTTTTGGCAAACTTTATGATAAGCCCTGTTGCTGTTTATCACTGGTTGGAGAATTTTTTTTTGTTAAGTTTGTGATAAAAGTGTGACACACAAAGTTTTAGATTCTCATAAATTCAATTTTAATTACGATGATATTGTTATTAATTAATAACATTACGATTAAACTGAAATTCTTGGAAAGTCACGTTATTTGTATTAATCGTGTAATGTTAACATGTGCGAATGACAAATTAGCAACATTTGCGGGTTGCGATTAGGGTGGAATACACCGCGGCGAACGAAACGGCCAAGTGTAGGATTTTACTACAAAAACACACAGCTAGTTATACAATATTTATGGGTCAAACTGTACACGGAATACATTTTTCAGGCGTTCGTGGCACAGCACGGCCGCGACGGCCGGCCGTCGTCCTGTCACCCACCAATGTGTCCATTTTGTATCCAACTTGAACCTCGCGATACTCCGCAGAATGTAAATAAACCGTGTAATAACATGCTACTCACCTCTCATACGATGTCACATTCCGATCAATTACACACTAGTATCATTAATCCCTCTTGATTAGAACCATCCTTGGATATCAAACGCAACATCACAGTCCGGCACGGACGCAAAGCAATCTCGGTCCTATGACCACTGTCCACTCTGAAAACATATGACACACCACTATTGTCCCGGTCCGACTTCACCCGGGATCGTGTTCTCCTTCCAATTCCTATTTTTCACTAGCGACTTGCGACTTAAACACAACGATTTCTTCATGAATCGAATCCACTGATTTATGTTCCAGTGACGCAAAGCTCATATATCGTCAAGAGCAGCCATTTTGAAATGTACGGGGAGTGCAGTCACAGCATGGAACATTTGTAAATTATGATCTCCCTCGTGTTTCCGAAGGCTTTAAACGTAGGGCGATTGGTGAAAATATTTGTGCACTGTCTGATTCAACACATAAGGTCACTCCATTTTCTTGTTGTAACTATTCAAAACAACCTAAGCGACATCCGATAATTCCAGCTTACCCCATTTGCAATGACACACATAAAATGCGAAAAAAACACACAAAACACTTAAAATCGTACTTAAAACTTATCGTACCGAATTAAAATAAGTTAAAGCATCATTTCAGTACACCAGTTCATTAGAAAAATCCCTTAAAAGATTAGTATATAATTTACAAATAGTTAATTCGGTACGAACAATAACAACGGCCGCCATTTGCAATTTTCAACTTGACATGCGCACTGCCTCGCAGTAGACAAACACACTGCTTGACATATTTTTGAATCGACGTACAAAAATGTTCACCGAATTACACATTTTTANAGCATCATTTCAGTACACCAGTTCATTAGAAAAATCCCTTAAAAGATTAGTATATAATTTACAAATAGTTAATTCGGTACGAACAATAACAACGGCCGCCATTTGCAATTTTCAACTTGACATGCGCACTGCCTCGCAGTAGACAAACACACTGCTTGACATATTTTTGAATCGACGTACAAAAATGTTCACCGAATTATACATTTTTTTATGAATGTCATGTAAATATTCGAGGCTAAAAGACTGGACTATTGAAGTCATAAAGATATTTAACATAAACATATATTTGTTCCTAATTATTAAATGATTTTAATTGAAGGCGAGAATTTTTCATCTATTGCTTTGTACGTCGTTACAAACATACATAGAGAAACTTTCATGCTCGACTGAAGGCTACTTTTGATTGGCAGACAATACATTCTCCATGTTTTGTAAAGCCGTACTCCGCTTTCATTGGCTGCCGCCACGAAATTTGGCGACACGACTCACTTCCTGTTCTGTGAAAATTAAAAATAATTTTCATTGAATTTTATTAGTGGTAAGTTCTCAAAAGTTAGAGTATTATGTAACCAGGTTCTGTTCATTTTAAATTCCAAAGCCAACAAATCTATTTTCTATCACTTTATCACAAAATATTTTCTTCATCTAAATTAAATTAAATTATAATGAATTACCAGTCAACTAAAATTAAAAAATTACAGTTAAAATTCATTTAATAAAACAAATACATATTTTATTCAAAATAAAGTGAAAATAAGTTATTTTTTCGCATGCTGGTTATCTTGTAAAGACGCAGCCGGCACAGATTGGAACAGCCCCTTCCTTGCCATTTCGTCGGCCCAATCTTCAAACTCTCCTTTCCTAATGAAGAATGAAACACTTTATTTAGAAATTTACTTTTTTTTAATAACTAAACAAGAGCAACATGCTACTAGTCTAGTCGTTAGTATCCGATCTCATAATCTAGTACCCAAATTCAATAACATAGCAGCAGATTTTTTATTGCCCTTGTAGGCAGACGAGCATTGGCCTACCTGAATTTGAGTGGTTACCGTCGTTCATAGACATCAGCAATGCCAGGAACAGTGTGCTTAGTGCGAGTTTTTTAACGTTCTCGACCTCGTTAAAGTTAAGTCAAATTTGTATGGAGTTGAAACGTTTGCCTGTGTTTGCTGCTAGGAGCACTATTCCAGCTGCATACAAATTTCAGGTAACTTTTACGCTATCGATAACGTTAAAAAAAAACTCGCACTAAGCAAACAGAGCTAAGCCGCGCTGCCTACCGCTGAGTACTCTCCGCAAGCCTCGTATGGAGAAAGACATGTCAGAGCGCTCAGGAGTTACCGAGGAGGGATGTTCATTTCGAGGCCGAATAGTACGTGGCAGAAAATACCTCTGGAAACGCACTGCGGGTGAACACAGTTTCTAGGTAGTATAGATGAACTTTACTCTGATAGCGGCCGGTGCTATGGTAAAAACGAGATGATAGGATCATCTCAAATAATTCCTCAGGACACCCCGAAATGACAATCCAAACAGGCCTCTTTTGTATGGAGTCAAATGGAAGTTTGGGACTCCAAATCCAAGCAGTACTTCGTTTCGCTTCGTTCTGTTGTGGATTGTCAGCATTTTTGACGTCTACGCGACTTTTTCCTCGTAACACAGACTCTGCCTCGATGTTGATTTCGCGTGGAATATTTGACTGTTTGAAGAGATTTTATTGTACTAAATTTCGCAGCCATGAGGACTAACAAAAATATTGGCTATCTAAGTTTGTACACTGCTAAAATAACTTGTAAGGTCTAATAATAAATAAATCATTTACGCTAAGACTCATAAGTTTGCATTTTAGTAGATTTTCCTATTTAATGTAGTTTTCCCGATAGATTTTTACGATGCTGTAACTCGAATTGTTGATGTTGAGATGTTGTTACTTTAATGAAGTCTAATGTATTTCAGATTTTGTAAAAATGACATGGCTTGTTTTACATGTATAGTATATTTTGAAAACTATGTTTCGTTCAGCTTTACTTGCACTCATTTGACAAGATAACGCCTGCTGAAAGCACATATTTCGAAATCGATCTGTGGAATTTCTACATATCGAACTTAAGCGGTGATGGTGGAACGTAAGGCCAGCGTCAACCAAAACATTGTTGAATACCCCCGAAACCACTCTCAGTGCCTTTAGGCTCTTCAAACACCGGTCACCGTCCTCGTCGAACTCGTCGAACATGACGAAGAGTTCGACGAGCGAACTACCCCGTAGACACGACCCTCTGAGTTTCTCGCCGGATCTTCTCATGGGGTCCCCATTCCGATCCGGTAGTAGATTCTACGTAGCACTGCTCTTGTTAGGGCCAGTGTTAGCAAATTCAGTCAGGTTGAGCCCGTGAGCTCACCTACGTACCTGTTCGCGCATAGCTAGAATAGCCCTTGAGGCTATCAGCGAATTGGTACAAAAAAATAGAAATTCTGGATTCAATTGGTTTCTCTAATGATTGACGGGACTTTTTGGCGGGAACGCGAAGAGTGAAGTTGTGTGATTTGTTTTATTTTGTATGTATTTAGTGTTTCTTCAAGTTTAAATGTGTATTAGTGGTGCTTTATTAACTGTTTGATATATGTGAAAGTGCACAAATGTGGGAAAATAAAACAAAGCCGCTGGACGTAACTTCTCGGGATCCTCCAAAAAGTCCACTGAAAAAATCTTAGTAAATTACCACCATTTTACTGAGATTATATTTCATCCCATATCATCTCATTTCATTTCATTTAATTTCATCCCAGTTGATTAATGTCTCAAATTAATCATCTTCATTTCATTTCACTCCATAATATCATTTTTCATAAAAATATGAATATGAATTAAAATAAGACATGACTTAAAGGTCGTAGCTACCAGGTCATAAAACCCCTTAAAAAAAACTCTTTTTGACGTATATTCATTCATTCATTCAATACTTATGTACAATTGTGTAGGTACTTAGATGTTTCATATTTCTGATCAAGTAATAGAGTGATACAAAGTGTACAAAAGTAGTGGTTGATTTATGGCAGTTATTTATGTAAAATAGGAAAAATTATAGATGTATTTAATGGTTTCGAAAAATGTAGAGATAAATAGGACATGTAAAAAAATAATAACACTATAAACTTATTTAATAATGTGTCTACGATAAAGCTCGAAAGCTGCCTGTCGTTCTTTAATATTTTGGGTAAGTATATAAATTTTAATTAATCATACTATGACCAGGTCTGATTAAATTTAAATAAAATAATACAATTATTCCAATGATGTGTTTGTGCTAAAAACTCAGAAGATTCATGTCTGTGCCCTAATATAAGTAAGCATTTAAATTTATTTTAGCGGTAGGCAGCGGCTTGGCTCTGCCCTTGGCATTGCTGAAGTCCGTGGGCGACGGTAACCACTCACCATCAGGTGGGCCGTATGCTCGTATGCCTACAAAGGCAATAAAAATAATAATAATAGTCAACTGAAATTGAAAATAACTTCGATTACAGTTGCATTATAGTTTTCATTTTTTCTTCTAAAAATGTATAGAAACGTATAAATACATGAATATATATATTTATTTTCTTTCCATAAATACTTTTTTTTTAATTGTTTTTATTATGAGCTCCTATACAAGCAAGTTTATCTTTTATGATTTTCTTCTAATTTAAAATAACTATGCTATAGTGTATATTTGATTAGAAATATCAGTATGTAGAATAACAATATTAAAATTATAAACTATTTCTACTTGTATATTTTGGGAGCCTGCTCAAATAGGATTGTCTCGCTAATTCTGCTATGAAGATTTGATTCCTGACTTGATGACAACTCTTAATACAGTTGAGAATTACTTCATGTCTATTACTAGTGGTGACTTGAATATATGTGAAATAAACACTAACCATCCATTACATCCATGAACACACATTATGTGGGTCATAACTTTTTACGAGACCAATCTGGCATGAATATGGAAAAACTGCTTACAAAGCATATTCAGTTGGATGCCTACATATTGGAATCCTCTTTATCAATGTGTATGTACTGATGTACCAATTAGAACTGCAAATCAAAATATCTTTAGCGGCAAATACACTAATCGGGTCACATTTTTTTAATCCCTGAATGGTGAAAATGCGAATGAAGGAAGCGTTAATAAGGAGTTTTTACTGTATACATAACTATATATATAAATAAACAACAAAATACAGTGTGTTGAATGAACTGGTGATTACTATCTTATAGCCAAAGCTCAGAGTTTCTCTACTATCTTTCCTATTGCAATCTTTGATGAATAGTCAGATGGAAGCAGGACTTGTCACTGGAATTCGCGTGAATCTCCTGTGGCATTAAAGGTATTAAAATTATTTGTACAGTCCAAATTCTAGTGGTAACAAAAAGCTCTGCTAATAGTATCTTTTTCTGTTTAAGACAATCAGTTACACTGTATGTGAAGGGAGGTTTTTGTCCTTTACCACTTAATTTACCTTAAGTTTTTCCACAGTTATCATAATTTTATCTCTGACTGGGCTAGGGCAGAAGAAAACATTTTTCACAATTTAAAATGACAATAATTTGCAAAGTTTTTTTTTTATTGCTTAGATAGGTGGACGAGCTCACCGCCCACCTGGTGTTAAGTGGTTACTGGAGCCCATAGACATTCACAACGTAAATGCGCCACCCACCTTGAGATATAAGTTCTAAGGTCTCAAGTTAGTTACAACGGCTGCCCCACCCTTCAAACCGAAACGCATTACTGCTTCACGGCAGAAATAGGCAGGGTGGTGGTACCCACCCGCGCGGACTCACAAGAGGTCCTACCACCAGTAACAATTTGGAACAACTGGAATTTGGAATTGGATTGTTGATAATCCCATTCTCAAGGATTGTTCGGAATCTCTTACTGAGAGACTTTGGTTCGCTCTGTATTTTGTACTGTATGTTTAATGGGGAGTACTTTGAGCAATAATAAAACGGCCGTCTGGTGTAGTGGTAAGTGACATGGTCACTACATAAGGGGATCGCGGGTTCGAATCCCGCCAAGGGAAGATATTTGTATGATAAATATAAATATCTTTTCCAGGGTTATGGATGTATATTAAATATATGTATGTGTATAATAAAAATCTTACATTTATTTCCGTTATCTGGTACCTGTAACACAAGTTCTTTACGAACTTATCACGGGACCAGTTAACGTGGCGTGATTGTTAGCAAATATTTATTTATTAAAAAAAAAAAATATTTGATATGATCCCATCATCTAGTTTTTGAAATATTTTAACATGGCACTGCTCCGCATCAGAGTAGAGTTCATCCATGCTACCTAAAATTGCAGTCATCTACAATGTGGGTCCAAAGATCTTTTTGCCAAGTACCGTCTGGCTTTGGAATGAGCTCATCTCTACGGTGTTGCCCAAGCACTGTACTTTGTCCTTCTTCAAATGAGGCTTGTGGAGAGTACTTAGCGGTAGGCTGGGGCTTGTGTCTGCCCCTAGCATTGCTGGCATTAGCGACCACTTACCATTACGCGGGCCATAACCTCGTCCGCCTACAGAGGCAATACAAAAAAAAAAAAAATTGTGTGCCCTTTAAAAAAGCTCTATTTAAAAAAAAAATTGTCTACAAAGCAGCATGCAGCACCTGATGATGATTAGTTACAATTGCTTAAGGACCTGATGCCAGTACAACTACAGCGCCATCTACAGCGCCACTGGTGGTAGGACCTCTTGTGAGTCCGCGCGGGTAGGTACCACCACCCCGCCTATTTCTGCAGTGAAGCAGTAATGCGTTTCGGTTTGAAGGGTGGGGCAGCCGTTGTAACTATACTGAGATCTAAGAACTTATATCTCAAGGTGGGTGGCGCATTTACGTTGTAGATGTCCATGGGCTCCAGTAACCACTTAACACCAGGTAGGCTGTGAGCTCGTCGACACACCTAAGCAATAAAAAATAAAAAAAAATTACCCCTGAAGACTCTTTTCAAACCTCATTATAAATGCTGGCCAGCTTATTACAGCTCAACATTCCTTAAAAATCTCCAAAAATTAAAAAGCCACTGTAAATGTTCATCTCCAATATTTCTAGGGTAATTATTACTTAACTTAATTATTAAGGAAACCTAAGCCTAAATAGACAGAGTCATCTCTTGTGATTATTCATGTCGACTTGTCTTCTACTCTTCAATTCCAAACGCTTTACCCGCATGTTGTCTGATTATTATAAATACGCATCAATATGCTCTGATTAATTCTCTTTGCGTTGATAAACCTCAATGCTGAGCGTCATAAACTCTGAATAACTTTCTCATGCACTATTTGAGGCCAATTCAGTCTGTCCCTGGCAGTGTTCATAGCATCGTGTACGCTTCTGATTAATAGAAACCTTTTAAAGTACCTCGCTGCGAAAAGGTTTCTGGTTTGATAGGTACATATATTTATTCACAAACTAGAGAATTAACTTCTTGTTTGGGCAATGAACGAAAATCAATAAAAAAAAAATTATTGTTTTACTTACGCATAATATTCCCTGTACGCTTTCTGTTTTGGTAAACGGACACCAAAGTAGAATGCCGCTCCACCCATCGCCGCCAGAATCAGAGCGCTGGCAATAGTTCTTTTGATTTGTGCGTGCAGCATCCCTCGCATAATAGGTTTGACACGGCATGGTGGTGGCGGTGGAGGCGGATGGCATACTTGCTGGCACGGCGGGGGTGAGGGGGGCGGACAGGGAGGACAAGGGGGAAGTTCGCATGGGTTCATAGTGTTCTGGAGGAGATAAAATCATCTCGTTATAAGATTACAATTGAAAGCTTACAAAATATTTGTGTATAACTTTTTACTGGTGGTAGGACCTCTTGTCAGTCCGCACGGGTAGGTACCACCACCACGCCTATTTCTGCCGTGAAGCAGTAATGCGTTTCGGTTTGAAGGGTGGGGCAGCCGTTGTAACTATACTGAGACCTTAGAACTTATATCTCAAGGTGAGTGGCGCATTTACGTTGTAAATATCTATGGGCCCAGCAACCACTTAACACCAGGTGGGCTGTAAGCTCGTCCATCCATCTAAGCAATAAATATATAATAATATACATACATACATATTATATAAATATATAATAAATAAAATTTTCTCTACAGATAACACAGCGCAAATGCGAAAATGGCACAAAGCTCACACGGTGGAAGTCACAGACGGAATAGAGACCACGATGGAGGAGGCTTACGTTATACAAACACAGACTGGGAAGCCAAGGAGGCACATTACCAACGAGAACTGGACGAGGCACGCGCTCGCGCTACCCAGATGGAGAAGACCATGAGATGGTGGTCAGACTGCACCGCCAACTGGAGGGAGAAGTGGAGTAAAGTGCGCACTGAACGAAACAAGGCAAGAGAAGAAGTCAAGGCACTCAAAAACAAAGTAGAGATTCTCACTAAAGAGTTAGGCGCAGTAAAGACTGAAAAAAATGAATTAGAACAACAACTCGGCGAACTGAGGCGAGACAACGACAAGTTGCTCAGTATAGGTGAAAGTAGAATCGTAACGGCCGATCTCACCGAAGACACTGTCGAGCTACGCAGGAAGAACATTGTCTCCCCAAACGAACAGAGACAACGGGCTTCCTTAGACTCGCACAAGCTCTCCAATGTAGACAATGTACTCGCTAACAAACTTAGCGAACTAAGATTGAGATTGGACGACACTTCGAAAGTTTTACAAAACGAAAAAGATCACAAAGCATTCCTGCTGGCCAAAATTGAAACTTTGACCACAGAGCTGCATAGCGCGAAAATGGAGCTGGCCCACGGTGACCGAACGTTGGGCTCGACCGATTCAAGCCACAGCGAAGTGGAGAGACTCCAGAATGAACTGCAAGACGAGATAGCGATCAAACAGGTACTCGAAGAGAAGATGACCGAATACAAAATGGAAGTAGAGAGATTGAAGTCGGAGAACACGATACAGTGGAGCAAGAGGGAATTGTTGGAAACTGAAAATATCGCCATACTCAGAGAGAACAAGAAACTCTACAGCCAAATCTGCGAGCTCCGTGAACAGATCCACAAGTTGAACAGAATGTCCGATGGCAGCGCGTACGGGTTTAGCGATCGCTTGGACTCAAACATCCTGTATGTTAGAAAGACCAGCGCGAGTCCACGGTCGCACGAGTCCAGCGGCTCCTCCGAGGTCAACATGGCGCATTACGAAGCAAAAACCGGGACTTCGGGCGACGAAGACGATCTAGCTATAGTCGAAAGAAACGAAAACTGCTAGCATACCTTGTCTGGGAGAAAAGCAGAATTTGTTATCTCGAAATTCGTAGGAATCACACAAGAATGACTGAAATGACTTTTCCGTCAAAGAATATTTAATCAAAAATCCGCCAGTGACAATCAATTTGAATGAAATAATGAGTTCGAGATTTGACATGGGTTCTTTCTTAAATAATATAAGAAAGAATGATACTCTTTTTTATAATTTCTCGGCTGTTGTATAATAGAAAAATTCACGAAAATTAAGACAATGAAACTAATTAAGTAATGTCACAGAGTAAACCAATAGTTTGCTTAAATGTTTCATTGGTATAATTCAAATTGAATGAAACTGTGGAGCCTGTATGGGATAATCATGGTAATTCGTAACGTGCGTAGTACAAATTCAGAATCACTTCATGTAATTACTTATGTATGTGACATACCTAATAACATTGCGTAATGCATTTATAAAATTCATTCCACGCGCTTAAAAATAAATTTTATGTATTTTTTTTTTATATACTAGCAAACTAAATGTTGCCAAATATTAATCAGGGACAGATATGACCGTAATTAAAAAGGTACTCGCAAAAAAATTGGGATGAATTTAACAAAGCTATTTCCAGGTTGACTGAGCTGGTCTTTTTAAGAAGCGTTTCTTTTTATATAGGTTTAAAAAAAATAACAATAATAGTTATCATTAAAACAGTGTTAACATGGAAATGGCCGTAAATTTTGATGTTTGAACTCCTCAGATAGGTAGTTAATCTGAAATATTTAGAACGATTTTCTTAAACAATAAATGTTTATTTTTCTTGCCAATATTAAGTTTAAAAGTTTATTGAAGTATTGACAACTGTATAATACAATAATTGCACGAATGCAAATTCACATTAAATGGATAATATTGAACATGTTGTTTAAAAAAAACGGAAAAACATAGCATCTCGCTGCCGTCTATACTAGAAACGATTTTCCCGCCATTAAATATGTACCTCAAAAGATAACCTGCAAAATGAAAAATACGCAATATCCAAATTATTTATATTTACTTGTAATTTGGATATTGCGTAAAATCATCGAGAGTCAACCACAACTCTATTGTGGGTATTAATTACAATCTCATACTTCCTATTCGTACACTCTTGACAGAGTGGTCGTGGTCATGCATCAGTCGGATCCTGCGATACCGATGCTCTCGCAATGCGACGCCTAGTGGCACGATGATTCGCAGAGTGAGAGCAATCATTTATGTTTGAGTGAGTCACAGATTTTATGAGGTCGGTCCATCGTGTTGGAGATCGTCCGCGAGATTGCAAGGGAATGTCGAGGGCAAAAGATCTCGCGGACAATCTCATACACGAAGCATGAAATTAGACCGAAATTCAATTTTTAATTACTGCGTGTATTCAGGAAAATCATACACTCACAAAAACCCACTGCATGTGATGAACATGAAAAAAAATATCCATTCTGTTATAAACAAAGAGCTGTGTGATATGTGTCCATTTTTGCCGTTGCAACGAATGTTGAAGCTATCGAATTAATTTAAATACTCACAGATTATTTTGTCACTAATAAATAACGTAATTTTCCTTTGCAAAATTATTCATAAGATTACATACTGTAATTTGTTTTTGTTTGTACTTTAGTTTTTTAGTTATTTATTTACCAATTTTTTCGAGTGTCGAAGTAAACTATAACCAAACGAAAATATTTTTGGTAGACACTTTAGTAAATATTTAAGCACGTGATCAGAAGGAATAATGCCTTTTTGAAACTTAAACATACATTTGACATGGCCTAGCGAATGTACCATTTGTTACAATCACTATAATTGTTAAAAAGCAATAAAATATATCCTGAAATTGTTTTATTTATAAAATTTCGAACACAATTCTTGAACTCTATTGACCGATACCTACTATTTTAGTATCCATATTTTTATATAAAGATGTCTTTGTTTCTTCCGCTTTTATGTCGAAACTATGGAGGGTGGAGGTAAGGAGAACCGTCTCATATGGGAGGAAGCTTGAAAAAGTGTCCCACTTCAGCACTAAATAACAGTTCAAAAATCCTCTACAATGGCGCTAGGATAGGTACAGGGTATGATGTGAATTGAGCAGTTGTTAACAGATTGAAGTATGCTGAGTTAGGAAATTTAATATATTTAATGACTAGAGTAGTTAGAGTTAGCGACCTCACATGTATACGTAGTCCAAACTAATTTCGTCAATATAACCGAAAATTATTGCTGTGGTAAAACGTGGAGACATCGATTGCATTTTCAGCTTTGATCATAAATAAAATACTTTTTGTGATTTTGTAGTTCTTTTGTCCTTTTTTATTTCTCTATCTTATTCTAATAACTTTCAGCGCCTTTTTAAAAATTTATTTGGTTGCTACTGTAGCGCTACCATTATTAAGCAGATTTTAACGGACACTTTTAAGTGACGGTTCTCCTTACCTCTACCCTCCATAAATTGACAGTAGAGTTCATTTCCCAAGATGAAAGGCCCTAACAGACAACATCATTACATACAGCCTGACCTTTATTATCTCTTTTTTGAAAAATGATATGGAGCGTAACAAGGTGTAATTGATTTAGACTGTAATAAATTGGGATGACACTAAATAAAATGAGATGAGATGGGCAACTAAAAAAATCCACTGCCACATCTAGATAGTAAGACATTATCCTATTTGGAGGAAATTGAAAAGAATAAATATTGAAAGATTAAGATTACACTATTATACATGCTACCTTCTACGACGGGACCTACTACAACGCGGAACCCACTATAACGCGGGTCCTACTACAACGTGAGACCTACTACAACGTGTTTCTAAGTGATTAATGAAGCCCATGGCAATTGATAACGTAAATGTCGCTATAGGCCTTCAGAGATGAGTCCTAAGTCTCAGTTTTATAGTACAACGGCTGCCCCACCCTTCAAACCGGCCAGTATTGTTACGCGGTAGAAATAGGTATCTACCCGTGCGGACTCACAACGCGCCCCCCAACTAGTAAGGCGGTCCCCTCTCGGTCCCCACCGTTGACTCCGCACAGTATTTCGTTGTGGGTCGTGTGATTTGATTTGATTTGATTTGATTTGACGACTACCAATTTTCCTCGCGTGATGCAGATAAAAAAAAACGAATCTGTTAATACACTTTATTTACATAAACGTTATAGGTATTATAGATTTAGGATATAAAAGAAATGAGAAGTTAAACAATATCACAGATAAAATGCAAATTTGGAAGCTATCAAGTATTTTTTCTCGAAGCCGACCCGACAAACGTCCTGTTCAAATTTCAACTAATTTGTAAAGCCTTCGTCAAACAGAACGCGTAATTAGCGCGCGTCAAGGCGCTATACTGACGCCGCGCTATGACGCCGAGATGTGTTGTACTACTATGGTAACATGCCGTCAAACAGAGTCCCAGCGCTATAAGTAAGCAGCGTTCTGTCGCGGCGTTAGGACGCTTTGACGTCAGGCGTCGTAATTTTTTACAAATTTTATTTTAGCGTCCGAGTGAATATGTATTAAAATACTAGATAATGCCCGAAAAAATGATATAAATAGTTAGAAAATACCCATGCTTATACAATGCCACATCTGAATCACTCGATTTCTTAATACTTTTAAATTTTCACACTGCTATCGAGGGCACTATGATTTGGCGAATGTGTTGCGTCAAGGAGCGTTGGACTCATCTAGTCAATTTGAAGAGCGCGACGTTAAGTACGCCGCGCTAAGTACGCGTTCTGTTTGACGAAGGCTTAAAACACTTTGCGAGTTATCGATGATGAATATCAACTCAATCGGCTCAGCTGTTCTTAAATAACACGCGATATTTGGTTTCTAATTAAAGACATGAGTGGATGAAGGGGTTACGTACCATTTTTATGACTTTTATATTGAATGAAGGTGTTATGTCTATAAGCCATATTAAACCTTAGAACTCCGGGTTTAAAGACTATTTTGAGAAATTGCATGTGGTGAAGGATTTATGTAGGAATAAAAAGTACAAGTAACAAAGTCTATTGCCCGTTTTCTCAAAATTAACAAATTGTAACTTTTCTTTTTTTTCTACCTATGCTGATAGCCTTGAGAAGCTATAACAGCGTTACCCGACGAGTAGGTGAGCTCATGGGGCTCAAGCCTGGCGAAATTGCCAACACTGACCCTAGCAAGAGCAGTGTTTCGCAGAATCTACCACTGGATCAGAAACGCGACCCAATGAGAAGATCCGGCGAGAAACTCAGTGGGCTGTGTCTGTGGGTTAATTTACTCGTCGAGCCCTTCGTCGCAAGCGACGGGTTCGACTAGGACAGTGATCGGTGCTTGAGGTACCTAAAAGCACCGTTAATGGATCGGGAGGATCCGTAATGACGTGTTTTGGGCGACATCGACTGTTTACCATTCATTCCGCAAGATTGGGAATGTAAATTGTATCCTATCCCCTTCATTCACTCATGCCTTCAATTATTCCACATTAAATCTAAACTTAGAAAATAATTGTGAAGTATATGTACAAAACTTTATTATTCTATTGTCGGATATAAATTAGGAAAAAAATACCAAACCGACATAAAAAATTAAATTGTACTGAATAAAATGTGTAGAATACAACTGTAGCCACACAACAAATACACGCTCATGCCTATCAGAGATCTGTTCAGATAGAACAGATTAAAAACCCCACACAACTGACACAGGTTTGGGCAGGAAAAAAATTTTTCAAGACATTACTTTTTTTCTTCCGTCTCAGTTGAGTTCTTAAAGTTAGCTATGGCAGGCATCCCTAACCGTTGAAACATTCCTTTGATCCTAGTTTTCTTCAGTTCTCTCTTATCGCGCACTTTTGATTTCATCTCAGACTTAATCTCCTCCGGTCTGACCGGTTCGTAGACCCCATCTTCTTTTTGTTCGAAGCCTATCAATTCGATTTCTATTTCGGGTGCCCCCTTATCTATGACTATTGGCACGGAGTCAGCTTGTAGTTCTACACTGTCATTTCCTTCTTCATCATCATCGGAGTCAGAGATGTCTTCATCGGTGGTCTCTCCGCTGCTGTCACTGTACGATTTAGTTTTTGTTTTTTTGTTTTTAAGCTCCACCTTTATCTGTTCCTTACGTTTCATGGCGTTTTTAGCGACTTTATATTGGGCTCGTCTTTCATTGTTTATGGGCTGCTTCTTGGATGGGGCCGGTTTTGATTTTTTGTTGTTATCTTGGCTCTGCGCGCTGGGGCCGGGGGCTCCGTCCTCCAGTTCCGGTAACGATGACTGAGACCCCTGGGCTGCGTCACTCCCTGATTCATTCGCCTTCCTGTTCACCCTCAGCATGGCGGCGATCTGTCTGGCCATCGTTCTCTTTGTCGAATTCATGTGGGAACTCGATTGTGACAGTGTTGTACTCTTCGCTGCTGATGACCTGTAATCGACATTTTCGATTTATAAACACTTCATACTGGTGGTAGGACCTCTTGTGAGCCCGCACGGGTAGGCACCACCGCCCTGCCTATTTCTGCCGTGAAGCAGTAATGCGTTTCGGTTTGAAGGGTGTGGCAGCCGTTGTAACTATAGTTGAGACCTTAGAACTTATATCTCAAGGTGGGTGGCGCATTTACGTTGTAGATATCTATGGGTTCCAGGAACCACTTAACACCAAATGGGCTATGAGCTCGTCCACCCACCAAAGCAATAAATAAATAAAAAACTTTATAATATAACTAGCCGTACCCGCCCGCTTCGCTGCGCATTTAAAATTAACATTATTATTTATTGTTATTATTATTAGGGAGTCCAACACTCATATAAATATTAGCCTATCCATTAAGTACATGTATTTTCTACATGGATACCAAGTTTCAAGTCAATCGGATGTATGGTTCAGTAGTTATAACGGAACATCCGTAAAAACAACTGTAGATTTATATATTAGTGTAGATATGGATACTGTTACGCCGGTAAGAGTAATGCCATCTATCGCCGAATAGTCGAACGAATATTGAAGAATCTAGTAGCACCTAGAACGCTCGAGAAGCACAACGCCATCTATTGTCAGATAGCAGAAACAATACTAGAGATTTGTGGAATATTCTCGATGATTCTAGGGATGAGGTATCGGCTATAAAAGCGCTGTAGGGATGGCGTGCAGTCAGTCAGTAATCGGAACTACTCGAAGCAAAACAGCGAACGGATCACTTGAAGCGAAGCGAAACAAGCGAATTGAGAGTTTTAAAGTGTTTGTTGAGTGCTTTAAGTGTTCTAAGTGTTGAATACAGCGTTAATGCTTAGATAATCATAATTGCTTAGATGGGTGGACGAGCTCACAGCCCACCTGGTGTTAAATGGTTACTGGAGCCCATAGACCGCTACAACGTAAATGCGCCACACATCTCGAGATATAAGTTCTAAGGTCTCAAGTATAGTTACAACATTATAGAATTAACGTTTTATGGCAATAAATTTTCAGTTGAATAATGTAGCGCGCAATGGATGGCGTGTTGTAAATTCAAAACTAATACCTGTCAGCTATTCCGGTGAGGTGCCGGACGCCTTTCACGGCCGACTTCATGGCGCGTTCTTTGATCGACTGCGGGTGCTCTTCTAGAGCCGGAGACTCCTCGGAGCCTGTCGTCATCATCATATATGAGGATACAGAACATTCTATTACAACATATATATAACAACACATATAATATTCATTTTATTTATATTGGCAACACTGTGGTTACGTGAATTGTTTTATTTGATTAATCTATTAGTAATCTAACATTAGATTCTAGTGTTTCAGTTGATACGGGAGATCGAATGTCCTCTAATTTTATTGATTAAAATTAAAAAATTGTTAATTCAATTTCTTTATTTTTTTTAGAAAACATAGACAAAATAATGAAACTAATTTAAATCTTTATTTATACTATCTTTCATTTTTTAGTTGAATTTCAATTTTTTCAATATATTTTTTTTTAATATTAAATTGTCATCGGTCCTTAATAAGTATACCAAATTTCGGGTTAATCCGACGTTTTGAAGGGGGTCAAGATCATGTTCAAAGATTCCGTTACATACCAACATACATACGTCTGAAGCTAATGAAAGCGTATTCAATAGTAGTACAAACCCTCAGAATCGCTGGAGCTGTCGTTGTCGTAAATCCCGTAGACCAGTTTCTTCAGCGACGCGTCCATTTGCCTCATCAGGTCGTCGTTTACATAATTCAAGCTCTTCTCGATGCCATTCGGGCCTGGACGATAATATATATTTGTACATACAGCGCGTAAGATAACTATGGTCTATGTACAGGGAGGGAAACCCAACCCCAACTAAAACCTTTTCCTAAAGCCTTCACCCCTCGATATGATAATGAAAACTAATCTAACTTAATCTATTATTAACATTAATATCTATATATGTATACATTGTTACGCCGGTGAGAGTAACGCCATCTATCGCCGAATAGCCGAAACGAATATCAAAAGAACTAGTAACGTCGAGAAAGCTCGAGAAGTACAACGCCATCTATTGTCAAATAGCGGAAACACACATCGAAGCTACTCGACTTGCCCAGAATGTTCTCGATAAATCTAGGGATGTCGTATCGACTATAAAAGCGTTGCAGAGATGGCACGCAGTCAGTTAGTAATCGGAACTACTCGAAGCGAAACAGCGAACGGATCACCTGAAGCGAAGCAGAAGAAGTGAACTGAGAATTTTAGAGCGTTCGTTGAGTGTTCTAAGTGTCGAACACAGTTTTAATTTATACTTGGGTAGAATTTTTATTTATCCCGAACCCTAGCTTAAATAATAATTATTATTAAAACGGTTCCCATAGCACAGGGAATCCTATTTTGGGGCCAAGTGAATTGAAGTGAATTACTCGGATTCAATTATTTAAAAAATTAAGTCATTAATATTATTAATTTAATTTAAGCCTTTACAAACCTGCTAGAGCTTTCTTTGCGTCTTTATATAAAGTTCCAAGCCTGCCGAGTTCTTTTAGTAGGTCACTTTCCTCGGTTTGCCCGAAGAAGACTCCGCGCGGCCTCTCGCCTCTGTCATCAGCTGGAGTGTAGCCTGCGGGTGTCATTTTAGGGATTGGAGGACCTTCAATGATTAATAGGCTTCGATGATGCATCTGAGGATATGAAGAAGTAGCGGTCATATCGCGAGCCCGCACACCCTGGTATCGCCGTGCTGGCTCTTTGACAGGTGGAAATTTGACGGGATGGTGAAGGCGATATCCAATTGAGAATTGGACCGAAGAACTCAAGGTCACAGCATTCAGCTTGTAATGACCACAGAGTCAGAAAGCTCTTTTTTTTCTACCTTCGCTCTTAACCTGAGGACGTTGCTAACTCTAAGCCGCGCTCTGAGGGTTAATTTGGTGTTAGCATAGTTGTTGTAAACTATAAATGCAAAGAACCTTTAAAAAAAAACATTTTATAACACAAATCCTTTGTTTCAAAATCTAAATTGAAATAAATATATAGAACAACAATGTAGAAATTATGTATGTATTTTTAATAATGAATCTAACTCACGGGCTTAACCTGAGAGTATTGCCTACACTGGCCCTAGCAAGAGCCGTGCCTCGCAGAATCTACCACCGCATCGGAAACGCGACCCACTGAGAAGATCCGGCGAGAAACTCAGTGGGTTGGAAGCTCCTCAACACCAAATGAGTATACTGGGTGTTAGGAGACCGCCTCCGAAAACGAAGACACACGATAGCAATAATGACACCTTTGATGATGAGACCAAAAAAATACGATCCTGATTTAAAAAAAAAACATATTTTTAAAACGTTTTCTTAGCATTATTTACGCTCCATCATGTTAGTACAGCTAAATTAAATATGATAGTTTCATAAAAAATACATTACTTTACTAAAAAAAAACCAGCAATGAAACACAAAATCAAAAACAGCTGATGCTCGGGTCAACGAACGCCCGGGCGCAACGCTGATACCGCGCTCACCAAAATTTACAACTTTGTAGGTACAAAATGTTCGTTTTCGGAAGCGGTCTCCTAGCACCCAGCATAAAGCAGTGTATCGTCACATTTAAAAAAATATTGATTGCTTAGATTGGTGGACGAGCTCACAGCCCACCTGGTGTTAAGTGGTTACTGGAGCCTATAGACATCTACGACGTAAATGCGCCACCCACCTTGAGATATAAGTTCTAAGGTCTCAGTATAGTTAAAACGGCTGTCCCACCCTTCAAAGCGAAACGCATTACTGCTTCACGGCAGAAGTAGGCAGAGCGGTGGTGCCTACCCGCGCGGACTCACAAGAGTTCCTACCTTCAGTAAACTAGACTTAGACTCACTATCGAAATATTTCTTTATGGAACGTTCCATGCCCCTCTCCCGCTGCGCCACGTGGCACTGGCACGGACCCTTGATCAGCACATTGCTCAAGATGTACAGCACGTCGTATCTCCTGTTCTGTCTGGCGATCCTCTCGATCCGCTGTATCGAGGGCACGTCCTCTGGTATGAGCCTCAGCGCGGCGAAGCCACGCAACGGCTGGAGGTTCAGCAGAGCATACACCAGAAACAGACCGGCCACGGATTCCTATCGAACAAAATTGCTAGTTTGATCTCGTGACAACTAAATATTTGTATGGTTTAGAATAGTTGAGGCGGTACGAGTAACGCCATCTGTCGTCATTAGCTAAAACGAATATCGATATAAAAAAAAACATTATAAACGAACTATCGGGAATGTTCTGGAAAATTGTAAGCCTAGTCGAAACGTGTACAAACGCGTTGTGTAGACGACACGAAGGCAGTACTTTTTGGAACAAAGCAACAGACAGACATCAGGTAAATCAAGTAAACGAGGAATAATGAATTGTGGTACAGAAATGTATATTAAACGTTGTAATAACATTATTGAATTGCAATTAGTATCTCGGTGAAGGTTTTTAAGCTATTGCATAGCTTTTATCGCGGGCTTTGAGCGCGGTGACCGAATCAAGAAATTCCGTAACGAAAATAAAACCTAACACGCCCCCACTCCGCCTACCATGTAGCTCGCGATCAACACATTCAAACNAATGAATTGTGGTACAGAAATGTATATTAAACGTTGTAATAACATTATTGAATTGCAATTAGTATCTCGGTGAAGGTTTTTAAGCTATTGCATAGCTTTTATCGCGGGCTTTGAGCGCGGTGACCGAATCAAGAAATTCCGTAACGAAAATAAAACCTAACACGCCCCCACTCCGCCTACCATGTAGCTCGCGATCAACACATTCAAACGTGCATGCGCATCATGAAAAGTCCGCCCATCTCTCTCTCGCGCGGTCTAGCTTATGAGTGTGAAGGGGACAGTTAATGTTTTGCTTTTGTTAATGTTTATAAATATAGCGTGGTCTTATTTTATTATTGTTTTAATATTAAATTATTATTGTATATTTATAATTGCATAAGTTGATAAAAAATTCTGTGCAATAGCTTTACCATGGCAGTGCCCGAGTGCCACACGTGTTTTTTTTTAAGCCTCAGCATATAATATTATGTGTATATTGATATAGATATAGTTAATGCATAAGATGTTTTAACATAATTATGTTTTTACTATTTTTTACTATTTCATTCAATAGACTTTTTTAAACAGCGTAATTAATTTTTCTTTCCTCTTTGGTTTAGTCAAACAGAAATGAAATTTTATTAAAGTTTATGATGACTTCAATTCACGCACCTCAAAGTTGCTAGTAGTCGAGACCATGTACTTCTTGGCTATGAGTATCACTTCCTCGGAAAGCTCAGCGAGCTCTGATGTAGCATTTCTACCGCTGTTAACATTAATTAATTAAATTAATCTTCATTTTATGAGTAACTTTATGTATTTTCGTTATTTTCTAGCCCTCCGCTGGTCAGAAGACTTGAGTTAGTCTATTTAGTTGCAAAATCCATTCAAGCACTCCTGTTTCAAAGTTGGCGGTACTATTGAGATTTAAAACTTATAAGAAGTGAGTGGCGAGTTCTACATTGTCTATGAGTTCTGGTACACTTGACATCACATGACTTGAGATTATTTACCATTACAAGAAAAAAAATGTGATCTTAGCGTCAGCATCTATAGCATGTTCCTCAAACGTCCAGCTTTCTTCTACGTTTTTTTTTATTGCTTTGATGGGTGGACGACCTCACAGCCCACCTAGTGTTACTGGAGCCCATAGACATCTACAGCGCCACCCACCTTGAAATATAAGTTTTAAGTTTTCAGTATAGAGTATAGTTACAACGGTTGCCCGCCCTTCAAACTGAAACGCATTGCTGCTTCACAGCAGAAATAGGCAGAGTGGTGGTACCTACCTGTACACAAGAGGTTCTACCACCAGTAAGTCAGCATCTTAATTACTGTAAGTTNGTGTTACTGGAGCCCATAGACATCTACAGCGCCACCCACCTTGAAATATAAGTTTTAAGTTTTCAGTATAGAGTATAGTTACAACGGTTGCCCGCCCTTCAAACTGAAACGCATTGCTGCTTCACAGCAGAAATAGGCAGAGTGGTGGTACCTACCTGTACACAAGAGGTTCTACCACCAGTAAGTCAGCATCTTAATTTCTGTAAGTTATATCTACTTTGATAACTGATCTCTCATCACCCATGATAAAACCCTCTACGTGCCTTTACGTCCATCTGTCCTAAGTGCTTCAAGTATAGGCATGCCGGGAAGAGATGCTATCAGTTTTCACTGTGATATCCAGGCTACCTTTGCTGTGTGCCGGTTGGATGTATGTGATCAATGATATTGGTGAAGAAATAAACAGCTATTTTTAATTCACTTGCTTTTAACTCCACATACTTACTGAAATATAGTCACAAAATCCATTTCTTTCCATATGTTGCAGAATTTCTCATAGCTAAGAGTTTGAACTTGGGTACATCTGTGAACAAGGTCATCACAATCGTCCTCGAATCCATCAGCGATATACGCTGGTCTTTGAAAACCTAGTAAAGGGAATAGCAGATTTTTTAAATGTTATATAAATTTATTAGCAGATCTAACAGAGATCTAAAAGTTTCAAACTTTTCTTACAAATTCAATTTTTAATGCACTGAGTTGGTATTCTAAACCATTCCGAACTCCAAGTGAACACATCCCAAAAAAAAAACATGAAAATAGGTCCAGCATTTAAGAGTTTACTAGCTCACAGACAATAGAATTATACCTAAAGAAAATTATTATTATTATTATTCATTATTAATTATTGTTCATGCAAGATAAATTAAACCTAAATCATTTTACATTAGTTCCAAAAGGGATTTTATATTTTTATCAAATTATTTGATCGAAATATATTATATTTAAAATAAATATTGTGCTTTTTCAGTGGCTGCTCTAGTTTTCACATTTTTTTGTACTTAGTTATAAATTAAAATATTCCATTATTATCTTTATCAAAAATAATTATTGTAATAATTTATAATAATTATTTTTGAATTAGTACACATGGATCTACTTTGCCCTAAAACTCATTACTGACAGGAGTGTGTAATGTTCAATTGCGGTTGAAAAAAGTTATAAAAGTGTGTATTAAAGGAACTTTAAAGGTTAGAATGAAGACTTCCAATGGAGGGAAATTATTGTAAATATTGAAATATTCCTTTATTTCCCACAATGCAATAAAAATATATTGTAGCTTTTCTCAACCAGTTTATCTTTAATCATAAGGAAGGTTTTATCTAGATAAACAAAATTAATAATGTACAATGAAATGCCATTAAGATTTTAACTTCTAAAGTTAAATGTTTTTGGTGATGCTGGATAAACAAAAAGAAATTAAATATTTGTGACTATGAGATCACTATCACACAAATGTATGAGTACAATACAAATTTATGATTCAGGTTTGGTCTTCATAAGCACATCATATTAAGTGTTTTAGTTTTGAATTAACAGTAATTAATTGTCATTTAAAAATCATTTAAATTTTATTTTGTAAATATCTTCAAAGTGGAGAAGTTCATAATAATAAAAATTGTAAAATATAACACTAAAATCACAAAGAATCGATTTTTTTATTACGATTACAATTTTTGGGAACCATCCGAAAGACAATAATTTACTTACGGTGCATGATTAACAGGTTCTCGAATATGACTGGAAACTTTCACACTTCACAGTGCAAAGGGCATGTTTTTGTTTTAAAATATTAAATTAATCATAGAATCATCAATAGAAACATTTAAGAAAAATGTATTTATGTATTGTTATGTGTTTTGATTTTTGTTTCCAGATTTTGACATTACACAGTTCACAGATTACTTTTTTTTTAAGTGATCTTATGACCTGGTAACTAAGACCTTTGAGTCATGTCTTATTTTAATTTATATTCTTATTTTTATGAAAAATGATAATACGGAGTGAAATTAAATTGATTAACTTGAGATGTTAATCAACTGGGATGAAATTAAATGAAATGAGATGATATGGAATGAAATATAATCTTAGTAAAATGGTGGTCATTTACTAAGATTTTTTCAGTGGACTTTTTGGAGGATCCCAAGAAGTTGCGTCCAGCGGCTTTGTTTCATTTTCCCACATTTGTGCACTTTCACAGATATTAAACATTCAATAAACCACCGTTAACCACCATTTAAACTTGAAGAAACACTAAATAGACAAAATAAAACAAATCACACTTCACTCCTCGCGCTCCCGCCAAAAAGTTCTTCGTTAAATCACTTTTAACTTTTACCATAGATAATACATAATATATATAATTGAGACATTTGCGTTAGGATTTGAAGAGTTGCAATTTGCAGCTGAACTATTTACCTCCTCAACAATTTCAAATATTTCAGCGAAATCACAAATACATGACGTATATCTCTAGTATACTCTTTAGTCACTTAGAAATAAAATAAGAAAACAACTTAAGTTATAACTTTATTAACTACAAATAATAACAATATACAACGTATCCCACAGGCGATCAATAAAACACTGATTCAAATTTGCTTATCTTTTAATGTATTGATTCTTTAAGTTGAATACTAACGCATCTCGATTTACTTGTGGTATTACTGCGAACAATAGACAAGCTTTGAGCCGTGATAACCACGATGCGTTTTGTTTCGGCTGTAACACTACTTGATAATAAACTAAAAGAATTGTTGTTTAAAGGAGTGGCTTCTCAATCAATTTGTACCAATGTCCACACTCGCAACGGCGCGGTTGGTCCTGTAAGGAAAAATAAAATTTATTTTGCCAATATATTTCTTTTAATTAAACGAAGTTATTCTTCCGTCGTTTAAAATCAGAAATTCACTGGTGTGAGTCCGCACGGGTAGGTACCACAACCCCGTCTATTTCTGCCGTTAAGCAGTAATGCGTGTTGGTTTGAAGGGTGGGGTAGCCATTTACGTTGTAGATGTTATGGGCTCCAGTAACCACTTAATGCCAGGTGAGCTGTGAGCTCGTCCACCCATCTAAGCGATTTGTTCCCGCACGCGTTTTAAAATTGTATTTCCATTTTTTTTTAAATGGTATCTGTTGGCGGGATTTAAACAGTGGCACAGTCACATTGCTCAATACGAATACACCGGACTACTTCTGTGATTTGATATAATCTTTTATCAGCTTTTTTATTGTCCTTCATAGGCAGCTGTGCATGAAACCTTCCTCATGGTGAGTGGTAATCATCGCCTATGGACATCAATAATAGACCATGTGGATGAACACTGATTTGATGGAAGAGAGTTTGGTAAAACTGAGACCATTTCAGGCAATGATTCAAAGCACTGGACATCAAACATTGGTCGATATATCACTTCAGAGGTACATGTCTTTGGATCTCTAATTCAGACTTGTACAAAGTCATTGTGGTGTAGAGGATAAGACCTCTGGTGCATTTGTATCAAGAGATACAACAATGTCGGAATGCGGCAACCAAGAAACCATTTTCCTAATGAAATACGTACTAAACAAATGTTCAAGATTGACTTCCACAATGAAGAAAAAAACATTGTGTAAAAATTGAATCTGCAAAATTATAGTATGCGTAATTACCGGTGGTAAGACGTTTTATGAATCAGCACAGGTAGGCACCACCACCTGGCCTATTTCTACTGTGAAGCAGTAATATATTTCGGTTGTAAGAGTTTTAAAGGGCAGCCATTATACTGTAAAAACTGAGCTCCTAGAACTCATGTCTCAAGGTGGGTGGTAGCATTTACGTTATAGATGTCTATAGGCTCCAGTAACCACTTAACACAAGGCCGTGAGATTGTTCACTCATATAAGCAATAAAAAAACCAAATTTGCAGATACAATCTGGTCCACTTGGTTACAAAATTATATTCAAAAAATACTAATAAGCTACTTTTTCTGTTTAAATTATATTATTAATTATATATTTTTAAAATTTTAATCATACCTTGTGTAACCAAAGCCAGGTGATGGCTGTAGCGTGTTCTTCACCTGTGGAAACGAAAACATATTTAAAATTAGTGGGTACAATCACCTTTACCCACTCGTAAAAGTAGGAGCACATTTTAGCCGTCAATTAGATTTCAATGAGCATGGATAATCCCTTTGAAACATCAGGTTGTAGGTTGTAGAAGCTTGATCCAAAAACTCACTAACAGAAATATTATCATAGCTTTTGGTTCAACAATTTAAGATTTATAACAATAATGTACATTTTTAATAATGGGTGTAACTAAATTATTTGAGTGGTGTAAAATTCAGTTCAATATTGAAAATAAAAAAAATAATGTTTAAATGATATTTTATTGTCATGTAGACATGACTATGGCCAGTCATGTTTGCATATAAACATCAGCAATACAAGGTGCAATTACTATGTGAAGCATAGCAAATTGCATTTTCAACTTGTAGAATTTAGTGAGTGGACGCTTCTCTGCATTCGATATATATGATTTTTTGCAATTAATGTCGAATACAATGTACGCATTAAAAAACGGCAGTGTTCTAAACCTAAGCTGACCATGAAAGATTTCTCATTATTTTAAACATACTGCAGTAGGATTTAGATTCTGTCATTTCAGATGAAATTTTTTTAGCTTTGATAACTCTAGCATATCATCACCAACATCCATGACCTTAGAATTAATCATTACACTTATGATTATTTTTTTAATGTTTAACATTACAATATGCTAAAATTAGATAATTAAATACTTTGAATATACAAATGCCATTGATTTGATAGCATTACTAATAAAATAGCACAAACACATGTTTCATAAGAAAATTCTTAACATTGTTGTAGACATAATTGAAACTGCTTTAAAGCTTTAATCTTCTTGTCTGTATTATTCATGTAATCCATTATTTTTGATGTTATAAAGATTTTACAGTTTTCACAGCCAAAGCTCGAAAATAATAAAATTATAATAAATGCAAGACCAAAAAATAAAACTAGATTTTATTGGCAGTTTTTTTTGTTTGTTTATTATTAGTAGTTTTTAATTAGTCTTAATAGCTACGAAACATATTGAGTACTTACAAATGCATCCAACAATACGAGCATCAAAGCAGGAAGGTACCAGAGTTGGGTTTTCACGGGTTCCTGCTGACTTCTTCACTACCTTCATGTTGAAGGGGTCATCATTGCCCGCCTGAAGGGCCAGGAGTTCCTTCCTTTCCAAGCCAGTAGCATGTTCCAATGGATCGGGCATCACTGAAAATAATTATGGGAAACAAATTATTTAAAATTTTTGATGGTTTTTAATGCAATAATTATTTAATATATATTATAGTTTCTATAGTTTCACCTATTGTTCCTGTTTATAAATCTTTGAACCTTGGAGATGAGGAAAATTTTATTAAGGAAAAGGTTATTTCACTGTTATTCATGTATTTTCAAAAAAACATGCTCCACTGACTATGATCAAATCAGATTCTGTTTTAAGATTTATTTCTCTTACATAAGCAAATTTAGCTTGGTTCAACATTTCTTGTATTAATAAGTAATTTTTAACTTTTTTTTTTTTTATGAATAAAGAACCATTTTTCAAGGTGGAATCATCATGTTTCATGGTGGAAAACAACAATCAACAATTTTGACCTTGAGATTTTCTGCCAAGAGGGGCGAATGAGCATATTCCCTTTGGAATGTAATGGGGACATTGATTGACGAAAAATGTAATACCAGTATTGAATAATCGATATCTAGAACTTATAGCAAGTGATGAGGTATACCATTTTTTTATAACACCAAACTATCTACGTTCCACTCACTACCTACATCGGCTATTATCAAATCTGATAGATAACGAGATTGATAACCTAAAATTAAATAATTTTTACTAACGGGAATAAGCTCCAAAACTTACACTTAAGAGACACGTTATTTCTTAATATTTATTACAAATTCGTATGTACTTTTTTGTAAATAATAAATTATCGGGATATTCACTTTAAAAATCAATAATGTGATCCTTAACCGGAAAGGTTATGGTCAGATAGTAGATCACATATTTTGCAATTATTTATATACCGTTTTACTTTTGGTTGGTCTAATGTTCTAGCTTAACATTTAAGCAGCTTAACATACATTTGGGGTTGTTTGTGAGAATCAAGATACCTTTTTGACATTACGTAACTAAAAATGTCAAAGGGTGCAGTGGTTTCATACTCAAAAAACAGTGATTTCTTACTTTTGTCGGCATATCCCCGCCTGGCTGTGGGTAAAATAACACTTCTAAATGCATTTGCTCTAAGAATTTGTCTACATAAGGAAGCCATTGTGTTCTATTTTCACACTAGACCGTTTCTCACGATAGCAAGTGGCGTAAAATATTTTCGGAATTAAATTAGAGATGGGAACGAAAAGACAAAGATTTTCTTAGTCGATTTTCAGCGTGTTACTTTGTCAATTTAATCGATTAAAATTTACCAGCATTTTATTAGCTGGAAGATAGTAAAGTAAATAAAATTAAATGCGCTCATATAATTCGCTTCATTCTTGGTGAATTATTCATATTTGGCTTCTATAAGGAAACAATGTGCTATATAATATAAGCCATTCGATAAGCTTATGCACACGATTTTGAAAGTAACCATTAATACTTTTACAGTAAATTTTATGTGTTCTATTATATATCCTAACAGCACATAATCTTAAAAGAACAACTTTTTGCAGTTTTCTCTTTAAGTAAAAGGATCTAAATAGTGTAACAGTAAATTTGAGACTTTTCCTTAATAATATATGACGAATAAAAAATTAGTTGGTTAATATGCACTTGACCTTGAATACGACATAAAACAAAACAATTTGTTTTTGATATATTTTATAAATATGAGACAAAGGACATTATCAAACGAACATTTGACATTCTTGAGGTTTACGCATGTTAAAACGGTGCTTTTCGGGTATTTCTAAAAAGTACACCTATATTTCAGTAAATAACCATTATTTTACCGAGAGATTATTCATTTAATTTCATTTAACCTTCATTTAATTTCATCCACGTCATTCGGCTCCATACTGTACTGAGCGAAATGACCAATACAGAAAGCGAAAGTAATGTATCAACCGTTTAAGAATGATTTAAATTTTCAAAAACGTTTATGGACAGTGAGTCTTCTTTGCGTAGAATTATTACTGTGAGCGAGAATGTGGCCAAAAATCCGAACATGCCTAGTCGACATCGTCTTCAAAAACCAAGCACTCGTTTTTTCGATCGAAAAAATCGATTACAGTTAATCGATTTTTTTTGTTTGCTTGTTTAAAAATGTTTACAGATAAAAACGTGTGTCGCCTGACCATTAATAAATTTAATATTTATAATTTGTAAGGGATTTATTACATCCATTAAAAATATTACATCTTTTGAAGCGTTTTTAGTTATCTTTATAAATTATTATTTGCATGTTCCAGCGCATTATGTCGTAGGTCACGTTTTCATTTCACTCGCTGCTGAACATTTAAGGTTTTTTTGTTAAATAAGATCGCATATTTTCTTCTGCACAGTGTGTAAAATAAAAATGAAGTGTGTTGGCATGTTGTATCTGTAACAAACTGATGAAAAATACAATCAATAACAGTATAGGTTAGAGTAGTTACAAGAAAATGGAATAGGAGAATAGAAAAAAGATGTTGACGGAAGAAATATGTTGAGCCTGTTCATCATCTTAAAGCTATTAACGATATATGTGTATTTTCAGTAAATTTTTTTATATTCATCTTTTTCGTTACTAAATAACATGCGAAAATCGTTGAAGTTAGTAAAGCATTATTTACCGTTAAAATTCCAAAACTGAATTTCATTTTGCGTTGAATCGACTGAACTTTGTCACTACATAGTAGTAACGATGAAATAACACTAGATGACAATCAATTTCTCGAACGACCCGCTCTCTGTGCAAAACAACCCTTGAACGAGTTCAATCGGACGTCGATTTCACCTTCTTCAAGCTATAATTTCAAATTGATTAAGTTTTCCAGTGATCTGGCACACATTTAAAATCTGGTGAAAGCAGAAAATAGTAAATAGGATAAATCACTTGTTTCAGGTTAGCTAGGTCTGGCATTAAATGCTACAGTGGAAAGCAATAAGAAGATTAGTGAACTCTAAAATAGTACAGCAAAGTATTGTGGAATCTAAATATACAAAAGACAATCCTTTTTAACTGTCTGTGAGCTCTGGTGCCCCTCTGACACTTGGTTGTGAGCTTGTTCAATATATATTCACTATAAAATATGTTTTTTTTTTATATACAGGAATCGCGAAAACCATAGAACCATAGAAAAAATAATCATAATTTGAATACTGATTAGAATGACGAAAATAACTGAAGATGTCCTCACCGGATCTGCTTGATAGATTTCTTTGTAGCACGATGGGGAAATACACTCTCGGACGCATCGAGTTTTTTGCAAACCTTTTTGGTAACTACAGGCGCTGCTTTGTTCACATGCGGTCTCGAATTCCTTGTAAGTAATTTCCTGAACAAAAATAAAATAAACAAATTTTTAGATAATTCCGTCAGTCCGCAGTCCTTTCATTCGTTGATTGTTGATACTTGCACTTGTATGTATACTTAGAACCATGTATATGCCAAATAATATGTGACAAGCAAAAAAAACTTTCACGTGGAACATCATTGCGTTACGTATGTTAATACTACACAGTTTTGGTAATCATCAATAATTTTAAAAACTTTGCGCATGCGTGCAATTTCTTTACACTACATTTGTCTTTTGTTTACGTTCCCATTAACCATAGACTAATAGAGATATTATCCACTTAGTCTTAACACGCTTAACATTTTTGCTTGTTTTTTAATTCTGTTTCTGAATTTTGTTCTTTTATAAATCAAGTGCTTTTTTTTTTTAAAGTTAATAATCGACTAAATTTTGCTACAGTACACGCCCTGTTAATTTGTTAGGTGTTCCACTATGTGTTAACGAAGCTGGCTACATTTTTTTTGATACCAGATTAAAAGATTTCCTGAAGAATTTAAAGTTTTCAAGAAAACATGAATGTACTTTCAAACTACTTTTAAAAGCTGTCAAAGTAGATTAAAAACAAATGTAAATATAGTTAACAAAAACACTTAATATTTTTAGAGCATCTTATAATATTTATTGATTACATATACAACGCTGTTATGTGATGATGAATTCTATCAAGGAGTTGTTATTGCTGAATATAGAACAGCCAGCAACAGTTTCCAGTTAGAGTAAAAGGATTATATTATTCGTCCAATCAAATATTGGTTTGCTTGAGAAATTTTATCTCTTTGTGTATTCTACCATTTTTTAATTGTGTGTTTTCTGACAATTTATTGGATTTTTTTTCACTTCCGAATTGGGGTTCATACGTTTGTATCTATGTTGAATATAAATGCTTATATACCGGTAAATCAGGATTGACAGAGCTGTTTTAGTTTTTCGGAAAAAAATAGGATAGGCATAAATATTAAGTGTATTAGCCATGGACGCTGTTGGAGTTTGTATATAAATGTAATGGCAGGCAACACTTGACACTTGATTAGATTTCGAATATTAGAATTATTTTAAATGTTTAAAAAAAACAGATCATTGTATTCTCGTAAGAAAATGTAAGGACTTCTCATCTAGACACGGCAAGACAAACATGTAATAGTTTTATAAAAAAAATATAAAGATAATAATTGTATAATGGTGTAAAAGTGTTCAAGCAATCTGTAATATAATTATAATGAAGCAGTTGTGTTTTTAAATAGCCCCTCATCACGTACAGAACCCAATCCCTCAAATTTAACCGTCCAACAGACGCCATGCTATTCAAGTAAACATGTTAAGAAAGTTTTCATAAAACAAGTTGTCGTGGCCTAAAGGTTAAGATGTCCGGTATATTCGTATCTAGCGATGCAACGGTGTTCGAATCCCGCAGGCGGGTACCATTTTTTATAATGAAATACGTACTTAGCAAATGTTCACGATTGACATTCACGGTGAAGGAATAACATCGTGTAATAAAAATCAAACCCGCAAAATTATAATTTGCTTAATTACTGGTGGTAGGACCTCTTGTAAGACCGCACGGGCAGGTACTATCACCCTGCCTATTTCTGCCGTGAAGTTTTTCTTTTTTCACTTATTTCCTGAGAGTAGGTAGGTACTCCCTGTAGCGATGGAACGTGCAATTTTGAAGTCGTCGTGGCCTAAAGGATAAGACGTCCGGTGCATTCGTATGTAGCGATGCACCGGTGTTCGAATCCCGCAGGCGGGTACCAATTATTCTAATGAAATACGTACTCAACAAATGTTCACGATTGACTTCCACGGTGAAGGAATAACATCGTGTAATAAAAATCAAACCCACAAAAATTATAATTTGCGTAATCACTGGTGGTAGGACCTCTTGTGAGTGGGTAGGTACCACCGCCCTGCCTATTTCTGCCGTGAAGCAGTAATGGGTCTGAAGAGTGGGGTAGCTTGTAACTTGTAAGTTGTAGTGTTGTAACTATACTGAGACCTTAGAAATTATATCTCAAGGTGCGTGGCGCATTTACGTTGTAGATGTCTATGGGCTCTAGTAACCACTTAACACCAGGGGGCTGTGAGCTCGTCCTCCCATTTAAGCATTTAAAAAAAGTGGTATAAAAGAAAATAAAGTAGCAACACTGATTCTGTATCTACTATTTTAAGTGCACTAACTACCATAGTTGTAGTCATAGATTATACACTTGTAGTTGGCTTTTAATCGAAATATCTGTTTTGTTCCGTGTCTGCAATAAATTTTGTTTCGTGAATTTTCTGAAATTAGTCCGCTAAAATAGTTTTCATTCGGTTAATAAAGTGAAGCAGTGACTGTCTGCAAAATTGTGTTTAGTGAAACGAAATTGTGGATTTTGCAACAACGAGAAATTCAGCTAATAAAAATTACTGCAACTGGTAAGTGAGAAAAAAAACATGAATCGAAAAAAAAAAAACAAATCGTTTCCAACTTTTTTGGTTGATGATTTAAATCCAAGAGAATTGAAATATAAAATTGGAAGGCTACGTATGAAATGTGTATCGAAAATTTATAAGATATTTTTTAATAAATCAGCAAATATTTACTGATTTTGTTGACTGCATAAACGCTGTGAAAGGATTTGCAGGATTTACGTCACTCGACTCGTTCGAATACAATGTAAGTGCTCTCCTCAGTTTGAAAGTACAATTGTAAATCTTTCTGATGTGTCCATGTAGTTGGAGAATGTATATAAATATTTATATCGAGTTAGGGCCTAGCTGCTAGGCGATTCGTTGCGTGTTAATTAGAGAAATTGCAAGCAACAGGTAATAGATAACAATGTCGAATGACAAATAAGGTTTTATTTCGTAAACCATTTTCTTGAATCATTATTAACAAACAAAGAATCTAAGTTATAATTAGATTATTTATTAACACTTAATTACACGCCATATACTTTTTGCAAAAGTGTAAAAATAACAAAAAGGGGTAAAGTGATTTATTGACAAAAATAAAAAAGGACATACAGAATCAAACAAATCCATATTTCAATATTTTAATTATATTTCAAAATGTGTGCTCATATTGTTGTCATTTATTTCATATTTACTCAGTCCTATCAAACTAAACAATTGAGTGAGTGCAAACTTAGTGCAAACGCACCAATATGCTGTATTACCATCAGCCACTGAAGAATGGATTTAACTGAAATACAATAAAGCATAGTTTTGAATAGCGTCATTGTAGTATGAATAAATTTTTTGTTAGCACTGTTGTTCTACTTACTTAACATGAATAAATGAAATTAAAATTTCAGTTTTACCATTGAATACGTAGGAATACAAATTTGTTTCATAAGTTATTAGTGTTGTAGTAGTAATGATGACTGAGTGGTTCGTCAACAAAGAACCCATGCTGCTGGGCCTATGAATTTGAAATTTTGATTGATGTTTTTATACTGTAATTGTGGCGTTAATTAAAGAATGATTATTATTAAATAAACACCGAAGGTCTTGAATAAGATATTAACGGTTGTCTAGAAGTTTGCAATTTTCAAAAGAAAGAAGAACCGTGTAATTTCTTATAGCTACTTTTTGTTAGAAATCCTACAGTGCACCCATATAGAGCACCGGTGACTTTAATGGCGGTCAATGTGTTAAAAAAGTATTTTATGAATCTTTACAGTCAGAACCTTATGTTTCATGTTTGGTTATAACATCTTAGCGGCAAAGTGCCTAGCACAACATATTTTTATTAATAGTAGCAGTAGCAGATCATATTTGACTCACATATGTAACCGGCATATGACTTTGGGTTTAAATATCTTCCACAGTGTAGTATTCCCTGAGCCCCACGTGCTGCTCTTCAAACAAACTTTGAGTAGTCCTTGGTAAATTTGCTTGTGCTGTTAGCATTGATGTCCAAAAGATAGCTAGGTGTCTATTTTAGGACATTCAACAGTAAGCTTATCTATGTTTGATGCTAAAGAATGCAAATCAATGGTTTACCTAACACATACCATCCGGTTATGGAATGAGCTCCCATCCACGGTGTTTCCCGAGCGCTATGCCATGTCCTTCTTCAAATGAGGCTTGTGGAGAGTATTAAGCAGTAGGCAGCGGCTTGGCTCTGCCCCTGGCATTGCTGAAGTCCACGGGCGACGGTAACCACTCACCATCAGGTGGGCCGTATGCTCGTTTGCCTACAAGGGCAATAAAAAAAATAATGAAGATAATATTAATGAAGTATTCTGCCGAACCAAGGGGGATATTCATTTGTACTGAAATTATTGAATAAAAGTAATAATTTTTTTATTATTAAAAAAAAAAACAGGAAAACTTCAAATTAATATGTTCACAACATAAACAATGATAAAATATAAAATGTACAGTGGTGGACAAAAGTTTCGAGAAACACAAAATTTTTTAAAATGAAAAACAATCTTTATAAATTTGAAATTTTTTGATTTTGAATTTTCGAATTGACTTTGATGACAGTCGAACTTACGGCCTCTGTAATACCATGTAATACCATGGTCATCATTGCTCGCATGTATCATGGGTGCTCTCTCTGAAAACCTCATTTTAGACTAAATTAATAAAAAGCAACCCCCATATTCCTTGTCCTCTCTGTATTACATTCATACTTAAAATTCTTTTTGTATTCGACAAAAATTCCTTCTAATCTGAGTGATGGTTGAGTATATGTCATCAATCATCACTACATACATAGTATAAAACAAAGTCGCTTTCTCTGTCCCTATATCCCTATGTATGCTTAAATCTTTAAAACTACGCAACGGATTTTGATGCGGTTTTTTTTTATTAGATAGAGTGATTGAAGAGGAAGGTTTATATGACCCAGCAGACTTCGTAGTGCCTCAATCGATAAAACCTAAGCTTTTGTATAAAATAAACTTAAAACAAACAAACAAAAACAAGACACAGTACTCTGTACTGTGTCTTGTTTTCTGTGTGTACATAAATAAATAAATAAATAAATAAAGGAATCCGTCCGACGGGGGACACATCAAAGGAAAAACTAAATTGTTATTTTTGTTGAATTCCGAGCATTTTCACATTTATCTACCTTTTAAACTTTCTCTGGACTCCCACAAATAATTCAAGACCAAAATTAGCCAAATCGGTCTAGCCGTTCTCGAGTTTTAGCGAGACTAACGAACAGCAATTCATTTTTATATATAGAGAAGATTTTTATATATAGAGAAAATGTATAATAACATCCATTAAATAGTGGAGAAATCAATAATAAATTACGGTTTCCGAAGCGAAGCGAGGCCGGGTCGCTAGTAGTATCATAATCCGGTCCATTTCTTGCGCAAAATAGCCCAATGAGTTTCTCGCCGGATCTTCTCAGTGGGTCGCGTTTCCGATCCGGTGGTAGATTCTGCGAAGCACGGCTCTTGCTAGGGTTCGTGTTAGCAACGTCATCAGGTTTGAGCCCCGTGAGCTCACCTACAAACGTTAGGGTTACGCTGAAATAGCCTCTCAGGGCTCTCAGATTAGGTAGGGGAAAAAAAAGGCACAAAATATTCGCAATATCACTAAGACTTCCTATTTATACTGCTGCTGTTAGTTATTATTATTGCTTTAACACGTAATCAAAGAAAGGAGCGTGGAAACTTTTGAGCGCGAGCGTACTCCGTGATTAAAGTGATTACACATCGTTGCGAACTCGCTTCGAACAATTAGTAAACTCTGTAGTCGGTGCTTTAAGTGCACGCGCACCGGAGCCGGTCGGAGTCACTGACGCGCGATCTCCAACACAAACAAATTACAGGTAAACTTTTTGCTCCCCTTGTAACTTGTAAGGTGAACCGTTCCAACGGCCTTGGTACATTGCGGATTGTACACGTACCTACTTATTTATTCAATTTGAAGTTTGTTCTAGAATGTTTTATTTTTGTTCACGTAGTAGGCACGTTGTAGGCAGACATTTTTTTTTTGCTTAGGTGGTCGGACGAGCTTACAGGCCACCTGGTGTTAAGTGGTTACTGGAGCCCGTAGACATCTACAACGTAAATGCGCCACCCACCTTGAGATATAAGCTCTAAGGTCTCAAGTATAGTTACAGCGGCTGTCCCACCTTTCAAACCGAAACGCATTACTGCTTCACGGCAGAAATAGGCAGGGCGGTGGTACCTACACGCGCGGACTCATAAGAGGTCCTACCACCAAGACTGCCCACTGAATTTCTCGCCGGATCTTCTCAGTGGGTCGCGTTTCCGATCCGGTGGTAGATTCTGCGAAGCACTGCTCTTGCTAGGGCCAGTGTTAGCGACACTCCCGGTTTGAGTCCCGTGAGTTCACCTATTCGCCCGGTTACGCTGACATAGCCTCTCAAGGCTATCAGCTTAGGTAGGAAAAAAAATATAGGCAGACTAGCATTCTTCTTCTCAGTCGCTTGTACTCTTGGTAGAGCAGTCGTGGTCATCAGTTCGGATGGCGGTGCGCTTCACGAGACGTCGCCATTGCTCGCGTACCGCAGCCATGCTTGTGCACTCGTTGACGGGACCGTTTAGAGTTAGCTGCCTTTATTTGGTCGGTACATTGTATCGGTGATCTGCCGAGACTAGCGTACGACCCATTTAATGTCGAATAGCTGGGTGCTCTTTTCTAATCTAATGATTAATCACGTAGACAAAACAAAGTAGGTTAACATAGATAGATGAACGAGCATGAATGTTTTTATTGTTGTTTATTGCAGAGATGGGTGGATGAGCTCACAGCCCTGGTGTTCAATGATTACTGGAGCCCTTAGACATCTAAAACGTAAATGGCGGCACCCATCTTGAGATATGAGTTCTATGAGTTCTCAGTGTAGTTACAACGGCCGCCCCGCCCTTCAAATCCAAACGCATTACGGCTTCACGGCGGAAATAGGCAGGGCGGTGGTACCTACCCGCGCGGACTCACAAGATGTCCTACCAGTAAAAATTTACGGGCTATAATATTATGAAAGTGCGTCATTTTCAAAGTAGTGAAGAACCTTGATATTGGATAGGAATAAATATAAATCGCAAATACCCCATTCCCTTTGAGTTCCTCATTGAATGGAAGAATCGTAGTAAAAACCAGTTAGAAAAGTGTGCGTAATGCAGATTCCCGCGAAAATTTTAGAGCACATATATTATCGCCTTTCTTCAAAACATTGGATGGATGATGATTACTTGTTGCGATTTTAAACAGGAAAGTTCTTTACTGTCTCCTCCCTATCGCGTCGTATTCCTCAATGCTGAGGGTCGTGGCCGCTCTTCTGTGTCAATTTCTCTCGTGCGATTCTTCTCAATCTGGTTTGGGTTCTGGCGGTGTGGAGGATGTTGTGAAATGTGGAATCAAGAGGGGTGCGGATCCGACGAACCGGCGTATTGGGTCGCACCCCCGAGGCTTTTACCCATCCATTTTAAAGATCACGA